GAATTTGAACAGTTTTGTTTACATTGTGGATAAGTATACTCTTTTTGTAACCAAGATAAGCTGCTATGAATTCCTCAAAGGTCTATGTAATGGTGTATAACAACAAAAAATATGTTAAACGTCTATTACTGAATAATGAACTTACCAAATCAGCAAACTTATTGATCCCCAATGGGTAAGCATGTTCACGATTGTCAGCTCTTTCATTGTGGGCTTTGATTTTTTAAGTTGTTTTAAACTGATTTCCTCCAAGCTTCTTCACTTTCTCAAGAATAAACTTGAAGTGTTAAACATTTGCACTATTTGATATTCATAACTCGCAATTGGAAAGGTTACCGAATTATTTACGAATTGGTCAACTTAATGATATGCAAACACTCATATCCTTTGGCCAGCATGAGTTATGAACATATTAGCAACACTCACTGATTTGAAATTTTTTTACTCTTAGAAAATGACCTCCAGGTAAATTAGAGGTTAAATAAAAGATTGACCTTGAATGACCTTGAGCGTTCGAACACATGGTTCTTTAACCTTCTGAAGATCATGGGTCAAGTCCGAGATCTGCAGCATTAACTGTGCCCGCAAACAGGCGTAAAATGAAAAAACGCCCGGTAATTTAATAAATATAATTATTAGAAGTTTAAATTTTGCTCATTTATTTATTGACATTGAGCTTTCGATCGAGGCAAATTTCATGTTTAAATTCGAATTTTTTCATCAAAAATAACATAAGTTCTAAAACCATCAAGTTGTTCTTCATCTAGTTGAACATTATTGAAGGAAATTTCAGAAGTAAAAATGTTGATAATAACTGCGTATCCCATTGATTCATTGAAAGCATTTTCCTTGTTCATGGAAAATAAAAACTTAACCAATGAATACTCACACCATTTTCATCGTTCTAAATAGCTTTAGTCCATTTTAATAACACTTTTTTCCCATTGAAAACCTTGTAATTGCCTGTGCTCTTAACCTAAGATTATCATCATTTCACTCTCAATTAACTGATTATTTTCACCTTTTTTTCAAGATAAAACTTATCAATCATTTGCTATCAAAGTTGCAGGATTATATCAATGTTGATACCAGATTTACCTGACAAGTCACTGTCAATTTAACCCTTTAATAGCGTTTTTTCCTTCTTCACCATATCAGTTGAAGTATTTGTTTCTGCCATTTAATCAATATTCTGTATATATTAACATGATGATTATGGTGATCTGTTGATGGTTATAATGAGCTTGAAAATGAAATGTTCATTATCATAAACTGTGCAATATCATAAGCAACTATGATGATATGATCAAGTTGATTGTTGTTACTCTTTTAAATCTGTCATTTTGCTTCTTAATCTGAATTTTAGATTCACAATTTCCTCCTTTTTTGATTGCAACAATATTCAAATTGTCTGATTATCCGCCGGAAAAACGTTATTATGGCAAAAAAATGTTCATTTTGATAACCTTTAATGATTCAAGGAATGACTTCATTTACACAATCCGATTGTTGATTATACATAATGATTTACTTGACTCTTCATCTTTCAGTTGATTTCAAGTCAATCAATAAGCTTTGTATTTGTTCAGTTTAACTATCAGTTCAATTAGCTTAACCTTTTGATTGATTCAACTAAATTGAGAAACAATTATAATTGATAATCGAAATCTGGTCTGTTTTGGTTCAACATTCTGAATAACAATTGAAATATTTTGCGTAAAATTTGATTAACCTTTAGTCTTAAATCATTGCTTTACAATTTGATCTCAACACTCAATACAATGTTTCCACTATTAACTGTTTATAATGATTGGACGTGTTTTGGTTTGCTATTAACTTACACTTGAACAGTTTATTTTAATTTAGTTTGCTAAAGGAATTGGTAGTCAAGCAAGATGATTATATGAAGGTGATAATACAGTTGATTTGGCTGAATTAGGCTAAATTTTAGTGCAAGAATCAAGTTAATTAGTTTCACTGATCTGTAAAGGCGATTGATTTACTTTCACTTGATGTGCAATATTTACATTGTTAATGTTAGCCAAAGAAAGGCTGTTTAATTTGCTTTACAATTTGAATGAAAATCGGTCAAATCTTCATTACTTTTACCTTATTTTAAAGATTAGACTTTGTTATCAATTTCATTGATAAATTACATTTCATCAAATGTTTCCATTTTTTCATGAATGGGAATTTTGTTGATGATAAAATGAAAGTTGAAATATACTCAAGGAATCTTCATTGTTATTGCTTGTTTTTTGCATCTTTTTTGTTCAAATGTTTCAACTTTTTGAATAGATGATAGGAAATGAATCAACTATTCATTCAAATTCCCTGAAGCGTTGGAAATAATATCAACATTATCTTATTGAACATTCAAAATTTATGGATAATTTTAAAGAAATGTTTATTATTTTGAATTGATTAATTGATGTAAAACGATTAATCGTTTCATCAAAATTGGGTTGCACCAGAATCAGCTGTTTTCATTGGTTCAACTTGATGCTTTTGTTGAAGTGCAAATTGAATTGTCTTTTTTCTGGTTTCAATTCGTTAATTAAATGATTGTATGGAGGAGGAATACAACAATGATGATTATAGATGATGCTTTGTATAACCATTAGTTGTGGGAAGAAATACAATTTGATATAATTTAATACAACCTTTGTAACTCCAAGGATTACCTTTAAATATTTTCTCCTTCCTCTTGTGCCGGTTAACGGTTGTTTGTCCAACAATTGTTTTTAACTATTGACCATTATCAATTGTTAACAATTTGTCTTGTGCCATTTATTTATCATGAAAAAAAGTGAAACAATTGGAACCACCTTAAATCAGTATTTTTCTGGTTTCTTTCCGATGCTGTGTGAAAAAGCCATACATTTGGCTATTGTTATATTTCCATTGGTTAACGATTAATCAACTGTCAATTGTCCTTATATTGATGATTTATCCTGAAAATTGATTTTATCCAACCATTAGATTTTGTCTTTCACCTTGTGTCAATGTTTAAAGTTTAATCTAGTTTTAATCATCAGTCCATCATTACAAACAGCTGACACTTTCCTTGTCCTTATAGCTTAAAGTAAATGGTAAGCATCGATCTAATTAACCTTTAATCATTACTCTTCTATCGATAATTATAATGTAATTATGTCACTAACCATTACAATAATTGATGATTACTTGAAAATGAAATAACCAGTTTATATGCAGTATTGGTTACAATGAAGCAAATGGTTATAATTCATGAATTACATTTTGCTTTGGTAAAAAATGGATGGATTTGTTCATAATGAAGCTTCTATGAATTAATAGCTAAACAGTAAAAAAATATTATTTGATTACAATGATTCAAACCATTAAATGTTCATTGTTGATGGTTACACTTTGTTGATTAATATCATTATGATGGTTATGAAAACAAAAATATTAATCTTTTAGCCAATTTTTTTATCAATTCTGGTTGATATTGAATATATTAAAAAAGGTAGATTATTTCATGATTAATAGCATTTGAATGGTATAACATGATAATACAATAATCAGCTACTTCACCTCTTTTTTGCACCGTAAATTGTAATCAACATTACAAGCTTCAAATTCAATTTGTCCTTCTTGACTCGTTGACATTTTCAAATTGTAAGATGAGTTAACAATTGTACAGTAATTTATTGATCCATTGGTAACAATAATAATCATGTTACAATGATTAACCATGTTGCTTCCAGTTGACATTAATATTTAACCATTTTCATCTCACACATTTAATCCAATGCTGAGTAAGTTAAAGTTTACCTTAGAGATTGCTATCCATACTATAAACTGAGTCTCAGGATAATCGTAAAAACTGATGATTCTTAATTGTTGAGTAAACCTAATTCTGTAAATGGCGCAATGCATCAGGTAACAAGTCATGTTTCAGGGTTTCCTCAGAAACACTAGTCAAGATTACATTGCTATTTACTTTAAGAATTATCTTCATCATGATTATCATATTGAGAAGTATCTTGATATCAACAATAATAATCACAAAATGACAAGAAAAATAACCGCAGGCTCTAACATTGGTTAATGAAAGTGAAAACTTGAAATCGATTGATTTGATCAATACTCAGTGACCAATAAAGAGTTGTGACAAACTAACAGTTTGATTAGATTGGACTAATTGCTGTGGGTTTACTGTCCAAAAAATCAATGAAATATCAAGACGATTCAAATAAAGGTTCAATGTTTGACTTTAAGATACACTTTTCAATGCAACAGATAATTTTAAAGTGTAATTCATTTTTTAAATTGAGCTTTATCGTAATCAAATATTGAAGAGTTAATCGTTTTTCAGTTTCACAAAATTGTCTTTGATGTCATCCTTTAATCTTGTAATAACCAAATGATATTTTAAAATAATTTACCTTCAATTATAATAATAGGTAACCGTTGGAAATTAATTTTGAAAAAAGGTTTATTTTGCTGGGAAAATCATGTAAAATTAATACCATTACAACTCAATTAACTATATTACAAGCTTTAATGTCTAACGTTTCATCTCCTTATTTAATTCAATAATAATGGCCATTAATAACAATGATAATCCAATTTAATCGGCTGATAAGATGTTAATATATGAACATTATAAGGTATAAACAAGTAGCCAGAAAGGTTTAATAAAAAAGATGGAAGTGCAGGTAACATCTAACACCTTTAGGTTCGGTCAAGTCATTATTATTTTTACTATGTAGTTGAGATTATTTTTATTGTTATTATATTGCTGTAGGATAAGTAATCATTGAAACATTATCTTTATTGTCATTGTAATCACGATTCGTATTAACCGCTTAATCTTAATCGAAATGCGATTGGTTGAAAGAAACAGATGATGTGACTAATTTGTCTCTTTGGGTGCATCTTTTCAATTTTTGTATTTCTTTAAGCTTCTTCATCCTTCAGTTGATTTTAATTTAATTTACTAATTGTGTTTATCTATTTGTGTTGTTTAACAGGAGCCACAATATTGTACAAACAGCTTCCTATGTCAATTGGCCTTCGTCGTTTGATCTTTTTCAAACGACACGATCTTCATCTGCTTAAATCTTATTCAACTCCAAGTGAAAATGAGATTCCAATATTTACTTACGTATTGGTTTGTGAATGTTTTAATTTACGTGATTGCCATTTAGCCACAGCTTGTTCAGTCATTGATCAATTGCGATTTAGATGTTGTGGTTACTCTGGACTTTATATTAATCATCTTTGACACCTTTAACACAAAATTAAGATAACTTGTAATCTCTTTTTGTATCAAGAAAACTATACAAAATGTAAGTATTTGCTGATCATGTTTCTGCCAAAAAATTCATTCTATTGATGATAGTTTGTTTCCAGATAATAGAGGATTTATCAAGCTTTAATTCGGTACGATTTTCATACAGATAATTATCGAACTTTCACGTTCACGAATAAATTATTAATAGAATGAATCTTTGCCAATAATATCAAAGTTATACTGATAAAACCTTCATTTCTCGAAAAATTAATTGCTAAGTTTTTAAATTATTTGCTCAAATCAATCTGTTTTATTTTTGTACTAAAAATACTGCATTTCACAATTAACTAATTGTTTCTTTTTTCTACTCAATTTAGTGTTTATTGACGTCTTCCAATGTTATTGAGTTTCTTTCTGGTGAAAATGGAAACTAATGGTACAATAATTTAAGGACAACTGAGGAAAGCTGATTGTTTTTTGCTGAAAATTTACAGTGGAAATGAAGTCAATCAACATTTCAAACTCGCCTTTAATTTTGAAGTCCTTTTACCAAATAAGACTAACAAAAATTGTAATTAAATTGTTTAAGACAACAAAAAATGTTTTTAATTGCAACTCAGTAAACATTAAATACTTTGTTGATATAATAATTTTTTACCAGATTTTGTTTATTATTCTCTGGTGTTTTTTTGTAATGAAATATTTTTCAACAATAATCATACAAGAAAAATTACTGTGCATCAAATCAAATTGATGATTTCAGGAAATTTCAACAAATGCATTCAATATAAATTGGAATGATGGGTTTGTTATCAAATAAGTTAATTTACTGCCACACCAAGAAACATTTTTCATTCCCTTGGAAAGTTATGTTAAACAGACATTTCTTAACAATGATTGAACTTCAATTTTTTTACATTGATGTATTAATATTACAAAGTGAACGAGGCATTTCGTTAGCTTTAAAATTGACTTTCGACATCTTGCAATCACAATGACCAATCCAAATATTATGGCCGATAACTTTGTTAGTTCAAGTCGGTAGGTAAAATTACAATGACTTTATAAATTACTAATCCATTACTTTTGAGATCGAGGCTTGCTTGTTGAACTTTACATTAATTCGTGGTATTTCCAAACATGCTTTTGAAGATTCAAATAAAGTTTATCCAATTAAAGTGATAACTTTTTGGTCAACATTCCATGAATCGAGCAAATAAAAAATACTGCAATTTTAAAGGTTTCAAAATTGTCTGAGTAATTTTACAGCAACTGATGCAACACATCAAAAAGCTTTGATTACATGAACCCATCAGGAAAAACTGAACCTTGAAAATGGTTAAACATAACGAAACCTTCAAACTCCATGAGCAAATTTTATACTTTTCTTGTTGTGACAGCAAAATGATGAAAATAGCAGGAAATATAAGTCGATATGAGGATTTGATGTGTTGATCAACAAAGGTAAAATAAAAAGGATAAAGGCAAAAGACCACGAGTAAAAACTTGAATCAACTGACTTTGGCTTTTAAAATTTTCTCTTTTTTTCTGTCCTTCTTAAAAAATGTGTTCACCTAACAGTATTCAACCTTTCATCTGAGTTAACCCGGATTCTGTAACAACTGACTCGGCCTCTTCTCGAGATGGTTGAACACTTGTAACCTTTTCAGTAGCCGGAATCCGAGAATCCAAATCATTTGAATCACTTTTAGGGTCACCAGCATGCACTACTTCGGAAACAGTTACTTTGAAAGGAGTAGCATCGTCATCATCCTCTTCGTCTAAACAAGAGACTCCGACAAGACTGGGAAGAAGAAGCGTCAGTGCCAAAAGAGAACCGCCGCAGCAAAATACTGCTAATCCAACTATTTTGCCCAGTTCAAGTTTCTTGTTAAAGTCCGCAGCTACGGGGTCAATTATTCTCATCTCATCTTCTCGGGCAATGACAACTTGCTTTCTAGGATATCCATATGCAATGATGAGTATAAAAGAGCCAGTTATCAACAGAATAAAACCTGAAAAAGGAAAGAAAAATTTAATAAAAATTGTAACTTGAACACATAAAAAGAAACATTAAATTATAATATGAGAAGAAAACGAATCCATTGAAATTGTCTATTTGAAGTGTTAATCTCTTAAACACTTGAAATCACATTTTAAACAACTTATTGAAGCAAATATAAGTAACAATTAAAATTAGATTAAATTGGAACCGATTTAAAGAACGTTAAATAAATTACATTTGATTCAATCTGAGTAGGTTTTAATTAAATCTACAAGATAGGAAAGTCTTCAGTGCTCTTTACCCTTTCAACTTGCAACTTGCAAGTTATACAATTGGTAACGCCATCTGAGAGATATAAAATAATTTATCATTCCAGAAATATCGAAAGACTGAAATATTATTAATCAATCCAAACTCTTTTTTAATTACATAAATTAAACACCTAACAATATCTCATGAATCTCAAAATCTAAAACCTGTACCATAGTCAAAATCGACACCACAAAAGTCTTTCGAAGTCATTAAAAGCACTCATTGCACACTGATCAACAAGTTATTGGTTTCTATCCATTTTCACTTCATAGGAGCTTATATTATTTATGATAAATCAATTTTTCAACCTACTAGTTAATTTTATGGTCAAAAGGTTAGAACTGTTAGAATCAAATGGTGTGTGAGTGTTGTTATGGTGTTTACCTCCTGGATAATGTTAAATCCATACCAATAAATTATATTTATCATGCTGATTCTGATTCCATGAGATTTTTACTTTTCATACTCTCATATTAATCTAGTAATAATAGTAATAATGTTAACTTTGATAACCATTTATTTGATCGCCTCAATCTTGACATTGAATGTAAGTTTCAAGATCAACCAAACAATTCAATAGCTATTCTGTCCTTGATATATCACGTTTATAATAATTTTTACAAGTCAACTATTATTATTCCCATCTAAAACGACCAGCATGATTCAATATGTCCAATATTTCCTTTAGTTATTGAATTAAGTTTGTACTGGAAACTCATCGCTAAAGATATCGTTGAATTGAATAAACCCCATGAGATGAGACCAGATGAACAATGACTTCCAATAAATCGATTCATACAATAAGCATTCGTCTGTGATTGTACACTGATATTACAGTTGCTCGGAAGAATCCAAATATCTGTCCTGTTAATTGAATTCTGATAGCTAAATTTTAACTACTGGTTATTTCTGAAGCAATTAAAATGAAAATAAAAATCCAATCTCGATCAAAATGAGCTCGATAAACATTTGAAGTGTGATAGGTTAGACTTGACCATTGTACTCACCAAACCAGAAAGCAAATTTCCAAATTTTGGGTGCTCTTCTGTGCTTCTTGGGAGCAATCAGGTATCTGTTGAAATTGAATAGAAGAAAAAAAATCAATTAATAGTCAATAAATTCATGGCATCAAAATACATTAAGAATCAGAGATGAATAGAAACGAGAAACCGTCAAGACTAGTGAAAGTTTAAAGGTGAAGTTGTTTACGATTGTATAGCAAGCTGTCAGCTTTTGTAGGCAGAGCTCAACAAATTGAACCAAATTCACAACTATTCGGATGTAAACATGTTCACTTTCTGTAGCTTAACAATTGAGATCAAGATGATTATGAAGATCAGAATAATATGAGAGTTAAAAAGGAGGAAAGATAAATAATGTAAAGAAATAAAAGCGTAGGTGTTCCAGTGTAACCCTTTTACATCATTCTTTCTTTCAACTCTCTTACTTATCGATTTTAACGTTTCCGTTCAACATTTGTTATTCACTGTAATCATTACCTTTTCACTGAACTTACCTTTACATTCAGATGATAAATATTAATTGTTGAAAAGATCACATTAAAAAAGGATAACCAAAAATAAAGGCAGTAGTCACTGGAATAGAGCTATTTCTATACCCATAGTTGAGTGGGTAACAAGCTAATTTGGTATTTTAGCTAACATTATACAAGATTAAATAATTCAAATTACACTGTTAATAATCTAAAAGGTTTAAAAGTTAATAGGTCTTGAAGATGTTCAGTTGAGATCAGAAGATTTTCAGGCTTTTAGATTTTCCCTTCTGGTTAAAATTCAAAATAAAAGTAAAGCTATCTAATTGGCCACAAAAGGTTGACCTATGAATAAATAACCAGATGACGGTTAACAGGTTATTTTCTTGGTTTTAGGTTTTTAGGTTTAAGAGAAAGTGTTTTGTTTCCATTTTTGTTTTGATTTATTTCTTAATTTTAGACAATTAATTAATTTATTCTTACCTTGATTCGTCAGATTCATCAGAATCACTTTTAAACCCATCTGTTACTGGCTCATAGAAATGGTGAATGTAAGATCTAACACCAAAAAAGGATGGCTTTGAGTTATCCTGGATATTAACTGTATCCGTATTTTCACCCATTTGATTAACCAATTGAACCAACAATTGTGTGTTATATCAATCCGACAATTTATGGTTTAACACTAAATCGAGAGTCATATATTCACAGGATCACTTTGGTTGTCAGTTAGATGAAATGACGGTTATGTAAAAAGCACTGAGTAATTACAATATTGATGGTTTTGAATAGAGTTGAAAATAAATTAAGACAGAAATTCAAAGAGTTTATTCCTTGATATCTGTTTGTACCATTACAGGTTATACGGTTGATCTCAACAGGGTAGATGTTGAAGTGAATATAAATTTAGAAATATTAACTGTTATTATGTTTGATTTGACGACCACTGGTTTATAATTAAATAATTTACTTTGGATTGGATCCCTTTTGGTTGAATTAAAAACAATCACTCAAACTGTACTTTAAATTGTTCTTTTCTATCACAGATGACCTTTAATGGACTTGTTTGGAGTTGAAACATTCCTCTAACCAACTCCAGATAGCTCTTTGGTTCTCTCAATCCCTGACAGAAATATTTCCTATTCTCTTCTGGTTCAAGGTAAAGGATAAAAACAGATAACAGAGAAACTGCATTAACGATAATTTGATTCTCTCGACTCAGAACTCAGAGTTGGAGCAAACTCCATGAATGGCGGCCAATTCAAGTCAATGTAATGAAAACTTTCCTCAATTTTTGGTTGATACTATTATAAAAAGACACAATTACACAATTATAACATTTATGCACAAATGGCAAAAACTGGTAAAAATTGATTTCTTTCAAATTTAGACTGTTGGTTTATAGAAACAAGAAACTGCTGCGATCATGGCTGATAGCAAGTTTCTTTTACCCACCCATGCTAACTGTGCTAAGCTTCTTTTCAAGGTATTTTCCACCACCAAATCTAACACATCCGCCAGGTCAACCAAATCAAACATCACTTTTTGTCCACCAAATTGTTCAACACTTTCATTCGCCGCTTTTCAAACAATTTTTTTATAAGATTATCCACCACCCAAATCCACCGAATTTTTAAGATACGATGGTGATTAATAGTGGATGTGTTAGATGGGTTGTGGACAATCTTATAAAAAATTGTTTGAAAATGGGCTCGAAAAAAGCCACTCTAAAGCAGCGAATGAAAGTGTTGGACAATTTGGTGGACAAAAAGTGATGTTTGATTTGGTTGATCTGGCGGATGTGTTAGAATTGGTGGTGGACAATACGGTTAAAAGACCGTGAAAAGACGGCAAAAAAGGTGGAGGGAAAAAGCCGGTCATCTCTTTACTCTTTACTCAAAAAACAAAAGTTTTACATAAAATCCTGGTCTAACAATGAACCATAAACCTGAATAACAAAAAATTTTTCCCCCTCACTCAATGTTATTGAATACGGATTCTACAGTTTTTCCCCCAGCCTGTATTTTCATGAATTTCTCAGAGATCTGAATTCTGAGGTGAGGTTTCCTATTTTTCGTGGATGTAGTTGAATTCGGGCTTTCATGCTGTGTAATTTTTTTTCTTAGAACCCGCACAGTTTGGCCACAATCTTGACACAAAAATTTGATACATTGACTTTATATATTGTGTAGATGTAGATAGAAAAACTGAGTCAATTAGTGCGATTTAAAACTTTCTCTGATCCACAGATCAATTTTCGAGAAAAGCGAGTTCGAATTTGAAACTTCGATCGCTTTTGGTACAATTATGGAAGTAGATTTTTTCACTTTTTATGTTTAACCATTAAATGAAATAAAATTTTCTGTTTCCTTCACAACAGATCAGTTCGATTTATAGTTAAATGGAACTTATTCTGTGAATAAATAAACCAATTTTCTGGTTAAACTTGCAAATAAATTTAAAGCAATTTCAAAGACAAAATTTGCTGGTAGAACCTCGAAAAATTGAGTTGAGAATTAAGACTTGATAAGTTTATAGTTTATATTTTAGTCCATACATTTAATGTAATCTAATGTTTGGTCTAACAAGGAGAGGGTAGTGGTACGATTAGAATCGGATAAAAAGTGTATAATTCTGTTATTTATGATGGAAATAGTTGGTTACCGTAGAAACTTGAGAACGCAATTGTCCTTTTCTAATTCGAAATTTGATCATTGCTTTTCAAAGTGCATAACGCCATAGTGAATATAATCATAGATTCTCGTAATTTTTCAAGTTTTAACATCAATGATTCACTCATAGGTATTCACTCACAAGCAAAAATTTTTTTGGCAATATTTCATTCTGAATTGCATATTCAATATCATAATCAAATAAAATAAAATTTCGCCTGTGTGCGAATACCTACGAGATTTATTCGAAAGAAGAAGAAACTGGAGAAGATGAAACTAATTTTCGTTTGTTACTGAAGAGACAAAATCAACATATTTTCATGCACTGTTGTATGCACTAATGGTCAAAAACGGATAAAAATTATTTCCTTTAATATTTTCACTCTTTTGGTTTGTAATAAAAACTACATTCATTTGTGTGATTTAAAAGTTTTTCTGATCGATAGATTTCGATACAATCGGTGTCAAAACTAAAAATTCATTGGCTTTTTATACAGGACATTTCAGCAAATTTTACCGATGTCGAAAACTTATTACTCGGCCTGTGACTGAGCTATAGACTTGAAAAAGTAGTATGCGAATTTCGCGAATACTTTTTTGTTTTATTTCAATGTCATTCAAGATCATTTACGGAAATCGCTCCTAACGATATTACAGGTCAAAATAATGGGTGCATCATAATTTTCAAGGTCAAAAAATCGTACTGGTCAAGTTTCGTCGTTGTTACATAAACACTTCGTCAGTTATTGGCATTTTAATGAACATTTCATCCTAAGCAGTTTCATACAAAATCATGTCATATCACACAAATTTAATAAATTACAAGAATCTATCTTTTAGATTTTATTTGTCTTCCAAAAAATCATGTGTTGAAGCATTGTGAGCAAAGCGGGCCTGGAATCAAAGATATTTGCGAATCTCACCTGGAACTTTCAGTCATATTTAAGTTTTTACTGTATCATTATCAATATTGTAACTTTCAAATTAAAGGTTGAATGGTGTAAGCAAATTGACTGGAAAAGATTTTCAGAGAAAAGTTGATGATAAAGTTGATTTTTCAATGAATTTAAATGTATAAACAAATGAAACAAGTATAAAGGAAACGTTTATGTTTTTGTCATTGAATTATATTAGTTACATTTTAATTCGACAACAATAAAAAAAGGAAATGTTGATTGTCAAAATTTAAAATTCTAATGAATGAGACAAAATCAAAAACAAATTGACGAAAAAGTGTCATTTCGACAACCATTCTTACACAGAGCAAACATAAGTTAAGTTTTAATTCACTTTTTATCCAATGACTTCAAGCCGTAATTAATGGTAAAAAAACACATAAGAAAAGTTTGCATTTTATGATTTTCGTTTCCTCTTGAGTCTAATTCATTTTTTCTCATCAGTCTCTATTAACAGCTTGATTAGAGTGGAAAAAATAACTGATTCTAACTTTACATTATGAATAGCCTTTCCCTAACAGTCTAATAACCTGTTGGTTGAAATAATAAAAAGCGAGCAACCTGTAAAAGAAGTTTAAAGGAAAAGTTTTTATAGTCTATAGTAAGTTTGTATATACATGTATTATATTATCTGTCTGAAGATTGCGACTAAGTGGGGTTCTCATGGTTAAGCTTGATGAGACCTCAAAATTTTATCTCAAGCCGTTATTTAATTTAAATGAACCAGACAAATTATTATTTGATTTAATTTAACATTATTTTATTTTTAGGATACACATTCTATTACATTGACCAAATACCATCGACAGAAATCAAAGCAAGGATACCAAAATTTCTTCCTTAGATGCTCAGTTGGCCCGATGGATTACCGAAAAAAGATCCAAGGAAATTTTTATACTTATCATTGCTTTGAGCACCAACCAGGCCGAAAAAAACAATGAAAGTAATAAAGAAGCAGAGCGATACAATTTTTGTTGATTCCATTCTAACTTTATCTATATAATTTCTCTTGAACTGAAATAAAATAAATTTATGTGCTTGAGAATCAAACTGATACCTTTTCTCCAATTTGAATGTCTTTTATAATGTGCTTTCATCTGTACAAATACTTAATTTTATTTACTTGCTATCATTTATTTATATCTGGAATAAAAATACTATTACATGCCAAATTTTCCATTCAAGGGGCTGAATCAATATTCACCTGTGTTAAAAGTTATTTTAGTTTAAAAAACAAACTAGGTTATATGAAAAGAGCAAAATAGATGCTGTATATATATTTGCTATGAAATGAGAATTGGAATTGTTTGCAAAGTGAATCAATCGGTTGATGATTCAATAGAGTGTTATTTTTTAGGTAGAGGAATTGAGAATTACCATGCATATCATGAAAATAGCAAAAGGTTTCGCATAAAATAAAAGCTGATATCCTGATCTTGGCTTCTACACAATAATAAAGACTGATTAGAAAAATAAAGACTCAAGATGAAACTGTATTTAACGCAAAACATAAAATGGAAACTTCCTTAAAGCATTTTAATTCATGGCTGGTAGCGACGAAGGAAAATTTTATCAAAACAGCAACCTATTCGACTTTTTGACAAAAAACGAAATTATTGGATTCAGTTGTTAAAATTCTACAATCAATCATCTTATCCTAATTTACATGACTTGAGAGATAAATGCCACATACATCATGTATGATAGGAGTCCGACTCCTGGAGTCGAAGAATTGACTGATCACGGATTGTTTTGTAGGCATAAAAATACGGAGAAAAGTTGTGAGCGTCATCTTTTCGGTTTATATGATAGAGCCAAGCCTCTTTCAAATAAAGATGACCATACCTTAGATAATAACCATATGTAATCAACGCAAGGGTTGTAAAAGATGAGAAGAAAAAGGTTAATTTGGCTCGGTTGAAAGGTGATAAAATTTGACTGGAAAAGAGTCTAGTTGTTGACCCAGACAAAAATAAGTAAATAGGAAGACTATATATTATGGGATAAATTTTACAATGGATGGCAAGTCCATAAAGTAGACCAGAGTATATATATTGACCAGAGAGAATGAAATAAATTGTTCCAAGAACCAGGAATGTGATCAAAGTATCAGCTGAACCACGAGTTGAGATGATCATAGGCAATGGATTATAAAGCCAGATAAGGGATGAGATCAAGGCTTTAGATTGTGACAATTTTACTCGAGGATGAACTAATATTTTGTAAATTAAATAACCGGTAACGATGTCCAAGGCAGTAAAATTTTCTGGTTAACTTTGTACACATTATGCATTGAATAATTTGTTGGATTCATCAACAGATCGCTTGTTTTTGCCCATTACCTGTGAATCTTTGATCCTCAATATTTCAAGAATGGCATCATCTACAATCATCATTCTCAGACCAAAGATTAGGTTATATTATGCGCTATGACATTACATGAATAAAATCTACTACATCTACATCAAGCTTCACGGTTTAACTGAAAATCGAACTGATCTGTTTTAAAAGAACCAGAAAATTTTATTTCACAAGATAAGTTCATTTAGTTGCTAACAATCAAAAGTTACATAAGTGAGATTAAGTTGCATGAAAAATCTGGTCACACAAATGTACAAAAGGCGATCGAAATTTCAACTGCGGACTCTATTTGCTCGAAAATTATCGATCAGAGAAACCTTTAAATCTCACAATTGAACGTAGTTTTTAATTCCCTACAAACTAAACCGAAGCTTAAATTTAAAAGGAACATATTTATCAAGGTTTTGCTTGCAAATACAAATTTATAGCTCAATCCGACACATAAAGTAGTAACTGGAATTGCTTTTCGAGCTATGAATTTTCGTGCAGTGGTGGTTGAAGATGCTTCTAATCAAACTAATTTTCTGATTTGAATTTTTATGACCCAACCAGAAAATTCACTTATTATAATAACTTTTTCTATTACTGTGACAGATTACTTGGATTTTTGCTGGTGATGATGATGACTTCAAGTGATGGTCACAGTTAGAGCTGAAATTATTTTTCATTGACATTGGTAAACATGGGTTCGTTTAAATTGAGCAAACCTCTTTACAGCTAATACCTAAACAGGCAAATTAAGTTCAAGCTAATTTTAGGTTTAAGTTTTAGCCAGTTCAAGTAAATTCTGAAGATTTCTCTGATCGATAGTTTACAATAAAACAGAGTTCAATGTTCGCATTTCGTTTTCTATTCAATTATGGAAAAGATTTTTTCTAAAGAAGAAGAAACTGGAGAAGATGAAACTAATTTTCGTTTGTTACTGAAAAGACCCAATCAACACATTTTCATGCACTAATGTATGCACTAATCGACAAATGGTCAAAAACGGATAAAAATTATTTCCTTTAAGATTTAAACCCTGTTGGATTGTAGTGACATAAAAACTGAGTCAATTAGTACGATTTAAACGTACGATTCTCTGATCCACAGTTTTCGAGAAAATCGGCATCAAATCTGAAACTTCAATCGCTTTTTGTGCATTTGTGTGACCAGATTTTTTCATGAAACTTAATCCAGCTGATGTAACTTTTGATGGTTAACCGTAGGGCATTGGATTACTCCTATTGTCAGATCTAATACATTTATTTGATTAATTTACTCTAATAAAAGTAAATAGTTGAGAAAACACAAATCTCATAATTTTTTAGAAAGATATTCCTTGCTAAATGAATTAATTTGAACTTCATTCGGTATGCATATTATTATCCATATTATGTTATAGTGCATAATGAAATCTAATGTTTGGTACAAGAATATACATGATGACGATGTAGATGATGACATTCTCGAAATATCGAGGTTAAAACTTTTAAGACTAATGGCCGTAATGATGAGAACAATTGATGAAAGAAGAAAAATATTCGACCCAATGATGTGAACAAACAACTTTGGTGAGCCAATAATAAGTTTCAGGGCTGAAAAGTTTATGGTCACAGAATAAGTTCCATTCAACTAAAAATCGAACTGATCTGTTGTGAAGGAAACAGAAAATTTTATTTCACGAAATAAGCCGATTTTTCGGTTAACCAGCAAAAGATACATCATTGAAATGAAGTTACGTTAAAAAATCCAACCACACAACTGTACAAATAGTGCTCGAAGTTTCAACTTTAACCGCGATTATCTTGAAAACTGTCGGTCAGAGAAGTCTTTAAATCGTACTAATAAATGCAGTTTTTATGTCCCTACAACCCCCACTAAGTCTCAACTCTTAGTTTAAATGTTCGAGCCCTTAGCAGTAGTCTTTGCATTTCAATTGAAAGTTTAACCAGGTTTATTTAGTAAGAAATAGGTTCAGATGAGTTTGGTTTGTTGCATAAGTTTTGTTTTGTTGTTACTCATACATTTAAAACCCAAATATCAGGGCCAAAATGAGTAAGAGAGTAAAAGTTATTTAATTTAATTGTGTTATTGATTAGTAAAGGATTAAATTGGTAAAGGAATGACAATTGTAGGTGCTACCATTATCGAAGTATCGAGGTGCAAATTTTTAGGGTCAATTGCTAATATCAAGAGAACGCTTGAAAGGGAAAAAAATTATTAGATCCATGATTTGTACGCCCAATTTTTACCAATAATAAGTTTCAGTGCTCTAAATCTTATGGTCTAAGAATAAGCTAGAAAAATGAATTTCATGCAAGAATCTGGTTACACAACTGTGCAAAAGGCAATCGAAGTTTTAAATTTGATCTCGATTTCCTCAAAAACTGTGGATCAGAGAAACTTTTTAATTGCACAAATGGATCCAGTTTTCATGTCCCTACATACTATAAAAGGTCTAAATCTTAACGTAATTAATTGCTACTCGTTTTTGCCCATTTGTACATAAATGTAATTGTGTCTTTTCATTTCAAAATCAATTTATGATTGATCCATTTTTTGATATAAAACCAGATAATGTTTACAGCCCAGTAGTATTGACACTAATCCAGTCGCATCCAATCGATTATTCCTCGGATTTTGTACATTTTACGTTCAAATATAATATAATTTCCTCAATAAAATAAATCAATCTCTGAGAGTTAAATAATTGATTTCTTCGGTTTATGTTTACATATTTAATACACTTTAATCATAGAAATTAACATGTAAATGAATGTCAAGATCATCAAGATGCAATTAATATAATATTATTGTAGTAATGGTTATTTATGACATAAATAAATTGAATTTTTCAATGACCATTGGATAATCCATTCTTGATTGCTCCAGCTAAATAACCCGTTTTATGAAGCCTCACAGCTGAAAATAAATTGAAAGATAAATGATTTAGAAATGTGTTCAGACTGTACATTACATTTAAACTTACTTGCAAGTATCGTGGCTAAATTCAGTTCCAGACGGACAATGTTTAACGTCTCTACATTTACATTTGCATTCGTTATTATCCCATGATTTGGCCGGAGCCATATTACGACACGCAACTGCATCTTGTTCATTATTACAAACACATTTACAAAGATCGGCTTGGTAAACATGTAAATTGGGATTACAATGTTCCTCTTTTACTTTACCTAAAGCAACAAAAACAAAGGTTAAAGTGGATGTGATATTGAATGTGAAAATTGGTCAAAGTCGACTTACACATGCAACGACATTCCTCATGTACTTCAACTTGAACGGTCTGTGAGGAAGCTGCTGGTGTTGTTGATCGTCGAATCCGTATTTTTGCCCGTTTCACATCTCGGTGGGATATTTTGGTTGGTGTACAAGCCATTCGATCACTGATATCACAGCAACCGCCACACCTCAAGACTCGAACACATTTGGGGAAAAATATTTCACCCGATTCAATTCCTTGGTCGCCAACTTCAACTGTACGTAATTCAGGTTCACAAACGGCTTGTTCAGCATAATTTGTCTTCTTTCGTCCTGCGAGAGGATCATCATTTACTTCTTGAATACCGAGGGCAGCAAAGATTTCACTTGCATTCCTCAATCCAGCAGTCCTTAAGAGTGCAGTGTCAAATGAATTTGGTGCCTATTAGCATGAATAAAATGTACAAGTTATTTACTAACAATTACCTTGAAATGAATAACTATGAAACCTTGAACGATTGAAAATGATGATTTTATAAAGTTATTGGATTAATCTTTTATCTGATTATTAGCTTTGCTTTATTGGAATGACATAATTTTATCATTGATAATTCACACCCGCAGGCCTTTCTGGTTTTCTGAGCAAGCTATTTGTTCATCTACGATTATTGGGTAAATTTCATAAACGATGTCAATTGAAACAACAAGTTACTCAAGTACGATTTCAATATAACCAAGAAATTGAAATTATGAGAAATCATTGATTCTTGTTCAGAAAATATACAAAATTTCTGTTTGTTTAATTTTCAATAAAATCTATCAGTGATATAAATACATGTAAGGCAACTGCTAATTGTGAGAAAGACTTTAAAAGGTTTGAATGAATACAGCTCTTGAGTTTTTAATTTTTTACATCGAATACAGTAGACTCGAATATTGGAAACTAAATTGATTTGTGGAATTGATTTTGATTGAAATGTGGTCAACTTACACTTGGAGGCCTCTGAGCATTTGGGAAAATAATTGCACCTGATGAGCCGGTGGATCTAGGTGTTAGTCCATTGTGTCGAGCACTAAATATACAAGGAATAGTTAGGAACAGGAAAATTAGATTAAACATAATTATTGATGAATGATTCCAATGATTACGATGAAATGGAGAGACAAGACGATGATGAAAATGGCGATTGAATGGAAAGGTAAACAATCAATGATCTTTATTAAAATAACTGATTTTCAATAATTTTGTTGCATTTTTCGTTGTTGCATTAAAAATAACTGAAAACATGGGAAACCAGTTTGACTAAACACCAGGACTGATATAAGCTGAGAAGATTGACGGAAGACTGATGATGACAATGAACGAAATCAAGGAAAAGGAGGAGAATAGGAGGGTTTAATTAATTAATATTAATAAATTTAACGAATTGCGTAAACAAAAGCCAATTTCTGGCATTTTAGTGAATTTTGAAATCAAATGACGTTGATTCTGGTTGCTTGTTTTTAAAGTCAGTGAAGGAATATTTTGAAATAAAATTCTGAATAAGCTAAAATTTAAATATACACTTGTTCATGTAAATGTTGAATCACAGCATTGTGAAGATTCAATTGAAAAGGCTTCGCCTGGAGTAGAGTTGTTTGAGAAATGAAAAAATTATCAATCGAGAAATTGAGAATTATCAAAAGATTTATCGAGAAAATATATTCAAATTATGATGCATATTAATACAGTATTTTCACGTATAAGTTGCAATAAAAATAGGCGCCTTCTCTTTAAATATTATTTAATGCCATTTTTTTCTAGCAAAACATAGTACAGAAACTTATACATGAAAATACTGTAATACATTGATCGAAAACAGTTGGCAATGACTAGAAAACATAATTCATCAACATTTTTTGGTTTGATTGGACCTTTTTGAGCAATAATTTGACCAGTTTTAAAAAATAAGCGTCCAAGAGAAACACTTGTATAATACACAATAGTGAATCGATAAATCAAAGCTTTCATCGATAATTTCTCGTTGGCAATATATCGAGAAATATCGAGAAATTGATATTCTCGCAACAACTCTAGCCTGGAGTCTTAACCATGAAAATCTTCAATGCAGTGACCTAATACCAATTTTAGATAAGTTGATTTGGTTATTAACAGTACTCATATGTTGCACTGTTATCATAATTAATTTTTGAAACAAGGATTTTTTTGGTAAAAAGTGATATAATTTGGTTTAATAGATTCATTAATCAGATTTTTGGTCAACAGTGGGTTTAGGCACAAAATTTTTCTCAATTATAAATTGAATGACAAGATTGATAATCATGAATATCATTGAACAACAGGCAAGAAGTCCAAGAACATTCCATCGAAGATATTGGTACAGATAAGCAATCAATAACCATTGGCCTTGTCCAAAGAACCAAAGAGCACACAATGACAAGGTTTGCCAACCGGTTAATTTGAGGAATGGATAGAGAATCGGTACGAAACATAAGTACCAGATGAAGTATTGCGATGTAACAACTTTGTTGAGGGTAACGAACAGATAAGTGGACGAGAAGAGGGCAAACATCAAATTGATTGAATGGTTGGTCGATTTTTGCTTCTTGTACTGGATACAGTATCTTATGGAATAATAAAGAATCGCCATGACTTGAGGAATAAATGCCACATATGATAGGAGTCGAAGAATTGACTGATCACGGATTGTTTTGTAGGCATAAAAATACGGAGAAAAGTTGTGAGCGTCGTCTTTTCGGTTTATGTGATAGAGCCAAGCCTCTTTTAAATAAAGATGACCATACCTTAGATAATAACCATATGTAATTAACGCAAGGGTTGTAAAAGATGAGAAGAAAAAGGTTAATTTGGCTCGGTTGAACGGTGATAAAATTTGACTGGAAAAGAGTCTAGTTGTTGACCCAGACAAAAATAAGTAAATAGGAAGACTATATATTATGGGATAAATTTTACAATGGATGGCAAGTCCATAAAGTAGACCAGAGTATAAATATTGACCAGAGAGAATGAAATAAATTGTTCCAAGAACCAGGAATGTGATCAAAGTATCAGCTGAACCACGAGTTGAGATGATCATAGGCAATGGATTATAAAGCCAGATAAGGGATGAGATCAAGGCTTTAGATTGTGATAATTTTACTCGAGGATGGACTAATATTTTGTAAATTAAATAACCGGTAACGATGTCCAAGGCAGCGAATAAAAATTTACCGAAAAGAGGCATTAAATAAACATTGGGAAGCATAAGGAAAGCAATTAACGGTGAATATCGATAACCATGACGTAGAAATGGGGACCGTCCATCTTTCATGTAACGAGAACCATCGGTAAACACAATATAATCGATATCAGTATATTGTAAGCGAAAAATTTGATCATGAACCCATCCATAAAAAATTAAAAATATCCGAATCACTGATGAAATAACCAAATGAGTTTCAATAGACGCAAGCAGAGAATCATTCTCCTCGATGTCATCACTGGTCATTTTTTCGCAATCAAGGTATAAACAGCTTCAGTATTGATTCACTAGATTAAAATTAACTTTCAAATAAATAAATGAACAAACTGAATGCAATTAATGACGATAATTTTCGTATTATGATTGCCTGAAAATCCTTACAATCAGCTGGTTGGTTGGTCACATGACACACAAATAAAAACACGTTTTTTTCAAACCTCTTTAAAGATTGGTTGTGAGCGCTTAAAGTATCGCATGTGTTTGTTTCTTCTTATTTAATTTAAATTAGTTTAATTATAGAAGTTGATAATTTCAATCATGGAAGTAGATTCAGAACCTTCTACTCAATGTAATGCAAGCAGGATCTTCGAAGGTTACAAAGCTCTTGGTCTAATTGCTGGAGACAAACCTTTCATCGTACGTTACATTGATAAATTTGAAGATGTAAGGATTGTTATTATTGTCGGAAATTATTTTCATACCTACAACTCTAAGTTACAATTAATCGAAACAAGTAAGTACCAAATTTAATCTCGTATTGGGTTCCCTATTTTCTCACATTAATATTATTTCACGTGGTTCTTAGGCCATCCTCATCCTGGTCCAGTGAATGCCTTAGCGTCCGATTCAAAAAGTGTTTTCTCGTGTTCTGAAAACAAAATATATGCATGGAGCGGTGGTCGTAGAAATGTAAGTCTTTTTTGATTGTGATGATCTACCATTGATTTTGTCATGTTTGCATAGTTCTATCTGTCTTTAATTTGAATTGAATAAATTTTGTTCTAATCTTGTTTTATTTTTCGTTTTTCTTTAGTTATATCAAGTTTTCGAAGGCCATGAATCTCGCATACATTCACTTCTAGCTTTTGGACCTCATTTAATATCTGTTGATGACTCGAATGTTTTCAGAGTTTGGGAAATTTCCACAGCTGGTGTGTAAATTTTTATCTTTATTTTGATTTGGATTCTTACCTAAAATATTCTACTTTCTTATTTTACCTAGAAACTGTTCTTGAGGTACCTTTTGGTGAAGGGTTCACTATTACATGTTTACTTCACCCAAGTACTTATATCAACAAAATTCTTCTTGGATCAAAGCAAGGTTCATTGCAACTTCGAAACATTAGAACTCAAAAATTAATTCATACGTTCAAAGGATGGAATAGTAAAGTTACAGCTATTGAACAAGCTCCTGCAGTTGATGTTGTTGGAATAGGGTTGGAAGATGGTGTTATTGTTGTTCATAATTTGAAATATGATGAAACTTTAATGACTTTTATTCAAGACTGGGGGCCAGTTCTCAATATCTCATTCAGAACTGATGGTCCTCCTCACATGGTTACCTCAAGTGACAAAGGACATGTAGCAATCTGGGATCTAGAAAAGCGTAAACTTTTTGTTCAGAAGCGAGATATTCATCAAGCTAAAGTAACAGGATGCCAATATATCTTTGGAGAAGCTTTATTATTGACTAGTTCACCTGACAATTCACTCAAAATGTGGTGCTTTGACGATCCAGAAGAAATAGGAAGAACTCTTCATTGTCGAGAGGGCCACACACATCCGTCAACTTTTATTCGATTTTATGGATCGGAGGGACAAAATATTCTAAGTGTTTCATCTGATTCAACTTTCAGAATGTTTTCAGTTTATAGTGAAAGGCTTCATCGGAGTCTCGGCAAAGCTTCATTCAATCGAAAGTATGCTAAAAAAGTTGGTGTTGCAAATGATCCTAACGTTATGCCACCAATTGTTGATTTTGCTGCGGGTAAATTTCTACATTGAATATTACACCTTTTCAACTTGAGCTAAATTCAAATTTTCACTTTTTTCTAGAAAGTATCCGAGAAGATGATTGGGATAATGTAATTGCCAGACATGCAGGTCTTGCAAGAGTAACAACATGGACAACGAAAAAGATGCGTATGGGATCTCATAAATTGCTGCATGAACGTTTTAAAAACACTAAAGATATCGTGTGTACGGTAAGTGTGTGGTTTTTTACCTCAATTCAGGTTCTAATGTAAAGATTTCAATGTTCTAGGCTCTTGCTATCAGCAGCTGTGGTAACTTCGTCATTCTTGGTTACAATACTGGTCATATCGACAGGTTTAATATTCAATCTGGAATTTTTAGAGCATCTTATGCTAAAATTAATGAAAAAGGTAAGTAAATGAGCCTTTTTATTGAAAAATGGTTTGATTTTCTTTATTTTTTATCTTATTCAATTTATCAGCACATGAAGGATCGGTTTCTGGAATAGTTTGTGATGAAACGTGTCGATTGCTCGTTAGTGGGGGTAAAGACGGAATTATCAATTTTTGGGTATTCAAAACTTGTGAATTATTAACTGAATTAAAGGTAGACATTCCAATCAACAGGTTTATGCTTCATAAAGAAAGGTAAAATTAATGAATACTTTTTTTTCGAATCACTCGATTCCATCAATTCTTTTCCTATCATTTTAATTATTCTTCTTTTCAAAATTCTAGTTCAATTTTAGCTGTTGCATTTGACGACCATACAATTCAAGTGATTGATCTCGACACAAGAAAATGCATTCGTAAATTGCCTGACCATAAAACTCCTATAACAGACATGACAATTAGTTATGATGCTCGTTGGTTAATTGTTTCAACTGAAGATTGCTCTATTCGTGTTTGGGATATTTCATTGATTAAGTTAATTGATTGGTTTCTTATGCCTTCTCCTTGTAAAAGTTTAACAATGTCGCCAACTGGTGATTATCTAGCGATTGCGCTGGAAAATGATTTAGGAATATTTTTGTACTTTAATTTATCGTTGTATCTTCCGGTCTCTCTCAAACCAATCTCGGACTCTCATATACCTCGTTTGAACAAATTGCCGAGTGTCCGTAAAGAGGAACCAGAAGGAAAAGAAGATGATGATAAAGATCAAGATGAAGCTGATGAAGTCGTCAATGTTGAAGAGAACGAAACTGTCGATATTGATATGTTAGATTTGGACTATAAATCTCCAGAGCAAATATCTAGTAATTTAATAACATTGTCATCATTGCCAACTTCAAGATGGAAAAATCTTCTTAATTTAGATTTAATCAAGGTTTGTTTTTAAAATTTTTTATATGATGACAGAATTTTAATCTTTACTTACTTTTTTCAGCAACGAAACAAACCAGTCGAGCCAGTAGAGAAGCCAAAATCAGCGCCATTCTTCCTTCCAACAATTGATGGTCTTGAACCTGATTTTGATTTAACCCAAACTGAAACCGACGATCAAGATAAGAAAGAAAAATCTAAGGTTCTTAATAATCTTCTAGGAGTATCACCTTTTGGGAAACTGCTGTTAAATTGCGCTCAAAGAAATAATTTCTCGCCTGTTATCAAACAGCTTAAAGAAATGAGTCCAAATACAATTGATTCAGAGATTCGAGCTCTTGATGCCATGACCCTCAAAGATGAGGATATCGAGTCTGATGATCACACTTTACTTGCTTCCTTTTTAATGGCAATGGAAAGTGCTTTAGAGACTCGAAAAGATTATGAATTAATTCAATCACTTTTAGGGCTATTTCTTAAAATATACTCTCCAATTATTCTCAAAGACCATAATCTTGTGAAACAATGCGAAAACCTTTGTGAGCTGGTGAAAAAATTACCAAATAGCTTACAAGATCAATTCAATGAATCGCTATTTATTATCAATTTCATTCGAGGAACTGTATAGGACTAATTAACTTTTCAATAAAGTATCAATTTACATCACAACTTCATTTCAATTCAAAATAATTTCATTGTTTTTAAGAGTGGACAAGAGTCAGGATGAATTGCTAAATTTTTCACCCAAAGTTAGAACTTTGTTCATTAAATGAACGATAATAGGTGGAGCTATCCTCACCATACTATGGTGGAGTAACTGAGTTACCATAGGCAGTGGTATAGAAGATGATATTCAGCCTTAAATTCATGGATGTGTATTCTCAATGTTTTGGTCTCAATAAATCTATTCATTTTCTATTCTAGTCATATTTAACCTAATCAACCCTAAATAATTATGATAATCAACTTTAGAGATCTTTTGATTATTGTGTTGTTTATGCAGCTAATTACACAATGTAGAACATCTTTAAGTGATCCATATAAGATTCTTGGAGTTCAAAGGAATGCACCATCAAATGAAATTAAACGTGCCTATAAGAAGCTTGTTCGTTTATGGTAAGTTATTTCGATTTTTTATCATTAAAAATTCAATTAATTAGCCTTTAAATATTTAATGGATACTCATTAATGCTCATTTTTCTTTAGGCATCCAGATAAAAACAAAGATCCTGATGCAGAGGATAGGTTTGTTCAAATTTCAAAGGCTTATGAGGTTTGTTGTGCCATTGAAAAACCCTCCAATCTGATGTATTTTGGGTCGAATTGGGTTGAAACTGTGATCATAGCTATGGTTTAGATCATTATTTTTGATTTTACTTGCTGCTTCAATTATTAAGTTCATAAGTTTTCCATGGATTACGTTATTGGAATGTTTTGTTTTTATTTGCTATATCAAAACAAACCGGATAGGCTCAGCTGGTTCATCTTGACTTTCAAGTTGTTATCCTAATATCACATCCGGTTGCCCATGATGTTAGATCCACGAGTTATCAACTTTATCTATTATAATTTAGACTATCAAATGTTTCAAAGATACTGTTTGTCCAGTTTCTGATATAACCTTCGTTTTCGAAATTTAATTCTTGGTTATGCAGTCAACTAGCGATTTTAAAAGAATGGATTCTAATTGAGTTTCGAATCGAACTCAAGTCTCCTATTGTTCCACAGTGTTATTACGATATTATAAATCAGCACATGTAATAATTTGCATGAGTTTGACCCGAATTCATCTTGAAACTATACGTTGTCTGTAAGATATTGTTCATTTATTACAATTAATTTCCTTTTTTATTTAGCTGCTGATGGATCCTGATAGAAGAGAAGAGTTCAATCGTTTTGGGACCACTGAAGATACGCCTAATTTTAGACACAAACGAGATTATAGTGATTTTAAAAGATTTGATTTCGATCCTTTTGAGTCCATTTTCTCTGGAGGGTCGAGTTCTTCTTCTTCATACAATTTTAATTTCAACAATAACCAAGCTTTCATTTTCCATCGTCAAACCATTTCTGCAAAGTAAGATATTCGATTTGTTTTGCTATCTTGAAACTCAGATACATAACGGATTTTTTCTTTCTCGTTTTAGAGCTTATCAGAATAAAATTCTTCCTGCCAGTATAACATCGCCACAACTAATTTTATTTTACGGAGATCTATGTTTTCCTTGCTTCAATGTTGAACCAGTATGGCATAAAATTGTTTTAGAACTGGAACCTCTTGGTGTTGGTTTTGCCACAATTCACAGTAAACATGAGAGCGTTTTAGCGCGTAAAATTGGAATTGACGACCTTCCCTATATCATTGGCATTGTTGATGGAGTTGTTAGACATTATAAAGACAATCAATTAAGTTTGTTGAGGATAATTGAATTTATCCGCAAGATTTTACCAAGACATTTGATTACACAAGTTAATGACGACAATTATGAAAGTTTTCTTTCTGGATGGTCTGATAATCGAGTTAGAGTGTTATTTGTTAACAACGACAAGCTCATTAAGCTTCGTTACCTATTGACTGCCTTCTCCTTTAGAGAAAGAGTCGTTTGTGGTCATGTCTCCATAAAAGAAAAAGATAGCCTGAAACTTATCCAAAGATATGGAGTAGACACCAAAATGGACTCAATGCTGATTTTCAATGAAGATATGAATAGACCAATTGCTACTTTAGCCGCATCAGAATTGTTACCTCAAATCATCAAAGATGTGTTACATGCCAATAAGTATCTTCTCCTACCAAGACTCACATCTCAGGTGAGTGTTATTAAGAACTATCACATTACCAATTGATTATTTCAAATTCATATTTTGTTTCTTTACTTTTAGGTCATGTTTGATCAAATCTGTCCTCCTGATGCACCTCGAAGTCGTCGGCGGTTGTGTGTGATGTTAGTCACTAATAACATTCCGTCACAAGAATCTGAAAAAGAAGCTATGAGAAGATTTATCTTGGAGAATGAGTTCAGTGAAGATAAATTTAGATTCATGTACATTTACCAGGAGAAACAAATGGATTTCATTAATTCATTATCTATTGGCAGTGGATCACCTTCAGATCTTACCTCTCATGTAGTTGTTGTCTGGAGACGTGAACATGACAGATTACTGTATGAATGGCTACCTGATATTTGGGATGTTTCTGATTCTGAAAGATTGAATAGAAGCAAAGCAGAACTGTATGATCTGCTTAATAAATTGAGTAAAACAACACAAACCATGACCAATAATGCCAAAATGGTGAATCTAATTGACGAACACGCAAGTGGTCTATTAGGTCGTATACTTAAACGTATTCTGGTTTTAACTGATGGACTTGGAGATAGCATTTCACAGAAAGAAGTTCTTCCAATTCTATCGGCAGTTGCAACATTCGTTTTCATTGGAATATTTGGTTATATTTTACAATATCTTGTGTGAGTATCTATCTATTTCTTAAAAGAAAGAAATATGGTTTTATTTCATTGGTTGTACTAATTGAAAGTATTTTTGGCTCCCTTATAAAGCAAACTGGAAGAGAAGAACATCAGGGAACAATACCGTAGACTGGGTAGAACTCCGCCTGGAAGTAATCCAAGGTAGGATGGATTAGCTTTTCTTTCCTAGTATTTGTACATGATCATCATATCTATTCTTTTCATTATCTCAATTTTTTATTTATTTCAGAAATGAACATAAACTTAGTATTCATGAGCTCAGAGGAGAAACCTACAATGGACTGATTCGACTGCTGAAACCCGGTTGCCGGACGCTTGTTTTACTCTGTGATACCAGAACAAAATCAAAACTCTTACCCAAATTTTATCGCTGTGTTCATCCTTACAGAAAGTAATTATACTCGCATTATTCCATCACATTTTTCACATTTTTAATCCTTTTCTTCACTGCAATCATTACTTTTAGAAACAAAACATTGATGTTCGCATACCTTTTAATTGAAAAAAATATTGAATGGTACAAGAAAATCCTACAACAAAGCCTTGGAGACCATAGAGAGCTTAATATTAATCCAAAAAACTGTATTGGCACCGTATTATCAATCAACGGTTTCAAAAGATATTTTTGTGTTTACCATGTCAAGCATTCTGAGGTGAGTCATTTATCTCTAATAATATCTATTATGCCAAATATCTAATCACTTTTTCTTATTGATTTTTAATTGCAGCATAGAAGAGCTGAACATCAAGACTTTTTAGGATTTGAAGATGAAGAAGAAGACATTGAGGCTGGAAATTTGATTGCACAGCGTTCCGATGAAAACTCAGTAGAAACCCAAGAATTTGTTTTTGAAAACAACCTTCTAGACGCTTTACCTCAATGGCTGGAAAAATTGTTTGAAGGAACAACTCATCGTTATTTCATTCAGTATTGGCCAGATAATATGAAATAAGTTTATTTTAATTTCTCTTTTTTGAGGAAGAATCAAAACCATTACAAAGAAAGTTCAATTTAAATGAAACTTATTTATTCCAAAGTTTCATGGACGACCTTTCAAAACTTGAACGGGCATCTTGATTCACATCCTTGTATATCTAGTCAAGGAGAACAGTGCAAATTTAAATCGCACCTCGAGATTTTTTCATATCTCTATTGAATCTCATATATCACTTAATCATCCAAAGAGATATTCAGTTTAGTTCATGCCTACTTACTGAAAAAAGATCGCCTTTTTGGGACCGTTTCATTCTCGAGTCTCATTTGATGTTATGAATGATTTTTAAACTCAGTTGATTTTTAATTTCTCGACAACCAAAAGTCTTGCTATGAAATTTAATACGACCCAATCTGACGGAGAAACTTGACTGCTTATCATCAACTGAATACTCTCATCAAAATCAATGATATTCAACGAAGTTTTCATGTTGCGCATTTCCTGACGATTATTTCTTTTTTTTAACATCAACGCTACCTACGGACTCGATGATGAGTTTTTATTACTCATTTTTTTCTTAAATCACTACTTTATTCTTTCTTTCACTTCATCTCATGATGATCTCAAGTCAATATTGTAAAAACATACCTTGTAAAAAATATAACTAATGTAAAAATGAACAAATTGACAGTCAATTTTTGACGAACAATTAGACAAAATTTTATTCATTGTGGCTCAATTCCAATTGATTTTTTTGTTCAATCATCGACAATGGTTTTGATCCAATTAATTAAACAAATGTGTTCACACTTTCTCTGCCTTCTAAATATTGATTTTTCATTTCAATCTCATTAAATTTGCTTTCATTCTAGATCCTACATTTATTAATATCTTCCGCCTTCATGATTTGTAGAACTTAATTTCCAAAATTATTTTCATTTATTCAACTGAAAACTCTATTGATTCAATTGATAATAAATGTCTGTAGGCGAACCAGCTGCTAACTGATTTACTTGTTATAATTGCCCTTTGTTACTTTGTCTACAAGTTATCATTTCATCAACATTAGTCAAATCTAATTGTTTATTCAATTGAAAATCTTTCTTTAAAATTGATCAATGCGTAATTTAGATATGATATTAAACTCATTGCTATTTGCAAATTTTTAGTCATTCAGCCAACTGTAGATTCATTTACCATATTGGAAATAGTCATTACCAGAATTTAAAACCACAAACTCTGGAAACTCTAGCCTTTGAGGCTCATTCATTGTTAATCTTTTCTAATAGATATAACCTTTTCATGAGATTCTGTCCTGCAAAAGTTAAATTTGCTTGAGAATTGAATTAAAAACATTTCTCTCTTTATATTCATTTCCCTAAATTCTTCTTCCTTATCCTTGCAGATAATTTCAACTGAACCAACAATTGGAATGATGGTGATACCTTATGAAAGGAGAAAATGTTTAAAAAGATAAATTCATTTTAATGCTTAACATGTTCAACTTTTTCTTTTCTCGTGTTTCATGCGTTTAGAAACTTGATGCTAAAATATCCAAAGTGATTGTTCACTTTTTGTTTCAGAACAATCTCGATCAATTTACATGATTAAAAAGGTTTAACATCACAATTGGGTGAAAAGTCAGAGGAAAAAATTTAACCCAAAAAAACTGGACAAATTTAAACCTTTCTTCTCCATATATTCAAAAGGAATATTGTTGATTAAAGTTTCTCCAATATTTGGTGGTTTATGACTAAATTTTGGTATTTCTTGATTTTGTTTCGTGTTGATTGGCGTTGAATCATTTCTCTTGTTTCATGGCTTCGATTTTAATCGACTTTAACTGATTCTCTGAGATTCAATGGCAAAGGTAAAGGTTTGGCTGGTGTTGTTGGTGGTTGACCATTTTGCTGTTGATTTGAGGGTAAAATTACATTTCGAAGGCAAAAATTTTCCAATCGATTACAAGCTTCTATCAGCAACTCGGACGGAACGGTAAGGACAATACGAATGTAACCATTAACACCAAACATTTTCCCTGGAAGAACAAATATCGACTCTTCCGACATTAAACGTTCAACGAAATGAAGATCAGAAGATAATTCGGGAAAATAACTTGTATCTATTCCAACCTGAGAAAAGAAAATTAGAAATTATTTTTCCTCTTTTCTCAATTTCCAATGGCAAAGCTTTTACTTACCATTATGTACATTGCACCAGTAGGCATGATTGGTGTTAAACCTGGAATACGTTTTGTTATTGAGTAACAGATTTTGGCATTTGCATGGATCAGGGAAATACAGTCTTGAAAGTATTCGTCTGGAATTTCCTTAAGTATTTTGGGTAAAGCGCCTTGAACAATTGAATTGGCACCGACAATCCGATGAGTTAAGTTATTTAAACCTTTACGAATCTGTAAAAATCAAAACAAATTATTCAATGAGAATATTGATTTTTTCATTTACTTCAACCCTTTCAACATTACTTACAGGATTACCAAATCTTTCTTGTTTATCATGAATTATTATCCAACCACAACGATAACCAGGAACCATGAATCTGAAGTAAAGATTAAAGGATAAAATATTAAAAGATTTAAATTTCCATCGATTAACCACTAATCAGTTGAATCAAACACTAATCAATGAATTAACTTTAATCTAAAGAGTTCAATAATGCAATCCATTGAACTTTGTATCAATAGTTGAGAGCTAAACTTGATGAGCTTTGATCCTCTTCTGACTTGTTTCTTAGGAATTAAGGAATTGAATTAATTGCGAAAGTTAATAATCACACAAAAAGCTTCTTACGAAATAAATCATTCAATGTCATCAATTTATCAATCAAGGAAATTATCTTCTCTGATTATTGATCCAATTTTCACTAAAAAAGGATTCATTTTTGGGATTAAACGCTTTTCCACTTTTTACTTCAAAATCTGAACTTAAATTGAATCTTACCTTTTGGTTGTTCCTCTGCATGATAAAATGGGAACTTCTTGAGTAAGGGAAGCTATTGGAGTAAACTTGTGTCCAGGGAAAACTAAATGTTCATAAATTTCATCAGCAATCACAGGAACTTTGTGTTTCTCGCAAATCTCAAGAAACGAGCGAATATGTGAAGCAGAATAAACTGAACCGCAAGGATTGGATGGATTATTGTAAACAATGGCCACTGTTGAAGGGTCAATCTGAGCTTCTAAATGGTCCAAATCAATTTCCCAATTCTTTTCAGCATCAAGATTGTAATATTTCATTCCAATCCCAAGTCCACCGCATAGAGTCTGGTACAAGGGAAACCCTGGTCTTGGAAGTAAAATGTTTTTACCCGGCTCGGCAAGCACATTTATGGCCATCTCAAGAGCATGTGAACAGCCACTGGTAATGATTACATCCTAAATTGTGATTAACAATGGAAAAGAAGAAAAAATTTAATCAAATTTTTCGATTTCTATTTTCAAAGTTGGTTACATGCATCTGAATGTTTCAATTGTTTCCTCATTTTCTCATTCAACATCTTCTACTGTTATCAGATTGTTTTATATCGTTTATTGACGTAAATAGTGATTAAACAAAAAGTGGATCACTTCAAGAATCGACCTTCAAAATTGTTTAATTGTTACGTAAAACGAATGGCATAACGAAAATTCCGTCTCAAGAATCATTATATCTCAAGTGAGGAAGCGTCATGAAATCACAAGATTCCTTTTATTTTTCCTTCTCTTGAAACAATCAACTCCAAATGAACCTGAAAAATTTAAACCAAAAAATTGAATTGAGAAGAAAAATATCTCTGGAAATGCTGAATCTTGACCCGATTTGGTGATCAACTAATCTGATGAAGTTTTACCTGTAAATGGTAACACCTTGAATCGCCAAAGACAAAAATTGTGAAGGAAAAGGAAGGGAACAAGAAAATTGTTCATCAGATAAGTTGAAAAGTAAAAGAGTTTAATTTTCTTTCTATTCATGGTTAAACTTCAATAAAACGAAAACACATTAATGTTTGGAAAATGCGGAACTTTCATGATCAGATAAACTCTGAGAAGACAAAAAGTCTAACATGCAAAGAAGAGAAAAGAAGAAAAAATTTTGTTCCAAAAATGTTCACCTTATCCTGTTTATTAAACATTAAGGGACAACCGTCAACATTGGCATTTTCATGTGTTTAATTGGTCAGGGCCAGTTCAGGTGAACATTATCAGAATAATCATGTTTACCCTGAAACACCGATTGAAAAATTGATAAACAGTGGAAGACGAAAGTTGCCAAAATCAATTGAAATCAACAGCTTTTGTCAGCTTTTTTTTGTGTTCATAAATTGTTAAAGATTGAAGGTCAATTGTGAGCTTCTCAAAGTGACAACTTTAACTTGATTAAAAGCTGTTAAAATTATTAATTGCTTATAATTAAGTGACAATAATCACACTTTAATATTGTCAAGTCTTTTGTATCAAAAAGCTAAAGATTAATGGTTGAAATGAAGGGAAAGATTGAAAGAAGCTAAAACTGAAAGCTAACAAGATTAGATTTTTCACTTTTATTACAATCAAATTGTTTACCAAATAATAATTAAAGATAATCATCTAACAAGATAATCTTAAGTGAATCTCTGATCAAATCAAGTAACCATTTCAACCATTATCTTGTATTCAACTTGAACATTGTTTATCAACAAGACGCAAAGGGCAACAAAAAGTCAATTTAAATGTTTCAATTTAATCTGACTAACATCAACTGAAACAATTAAGAGCGCAAAAGGTAAACCTTTAAATTAATTGACCCGCACTTGTATATTAATTGGCATCTTCTTGATTCTGTCAACATGGAAAGGCAATAGTTGAATGAAATGCAAAAGGCATGATGGTGTCAACTGATTAATTGTTTCAATTCACTCAGATTCTGACATGTTTAACTTACCTTTGGATCTACTTGAACATTATTGGTTGATGAATACTCGGCGATTGCCTTACGAGCCGATTCAATTCCATTGGAAGGTAAATATCCATTGAACTTGTTGCTTTGAATACTTTCAACCATTGCTTCAATGATTACATTGTTGGGTTCAAGATTACCGAAAACGGTTGGATCACCTAATTTGGAGAAATTTGATTTTTAAAAGAAAATTAAATTTAAATTTTCTCTCGATTGTAAATTTACTTACCGATTGAAAGAGGAATCAGTTTTTTATTTGGATTTGGTGAAGCATTCAGGTTCTCCAAGACTTGGCGAATTGGGTTGATAGTGTTTTGGGCATAATGTGACACCTTAATATCCCACTGTCTTTCACTTTTCATTGTCACATTAGTTGTTAAATGTTTAAACCAGAAACGGGAATCTCAATTGAACCCGAAAAGCCGTTGAGTGTTGAAGCGTTTTTAACCTTTTTTTCCCTTGTTTATCTAAACTGATTTGAAATGTTTATCAATATTGATTGTTGTTGTCTTTGGTGTGCACACAATTGGATGTAACTTGGTTAGTTGATTTTGATAAACATAATAACAAAAAAGTCAATTTCAAAATGTAATTGCTAATGAGAAGTTGATTCGCATTGGTTTTATTATAAAACAAAATTATATAAGACGAAGAAGAGGAAAATTAGATAAAGTTGATTAAGATGAGGATTGATAATTACGTTGATTAAGATGGTTGGGATTGCTATGATCAAGAAGATGATGAAGATGATGATGATGAGTGGCTAAAAACTGTGTAAGTTTAAGAGACTCGGAATAACTTGACTAGTATCATCTCTTGAGGAATAATTTGTTGTCTTTTTTTTGCTTTTGTTTTATCATTGAAAATCCCGTTCTCATCATCTTTCTCTTTCTTCCTTCTCTGTCTTCACTTCTCCTTGAGATTATTTAGTTTCTTCTTCTTCGTCTTCATTAATTTCATTGATTCTCAATTCCAACCCACTTGTTATGTCATCTTGAGAGGATGAAAGAAGACAGAAATGATTAGTTTTGTTCGTTGTGTGCTTTTCAACCATCATCTTGATTTGTATCATTTCAATCGGATGAGGGTGAGACAGTTAAACAGATTGATTGAAAGATAATTTACAATTGATTAAATGTTCAACAGTTGCCTTTTGATAATCAGTTGGTCAACCAATTGGTTGTCTTTGGGTTTTCTGGTTAGCCTTTTTCTGGTTCTCCTGGTATTTGGGTTTGCACCATTTTTGAGGGTTTTTTTACCGTTTTTAAAACCTTTATTTCACATTTGCGACGTTTTTTTATTCTGGATCATTCTAGGCTTGACTTTATTCATTATCATTTTATCTGATTTATTTTTTGCTTAATTTTGTTTGCTCATTATACCTTGAGTTGAACGACGGAAGGTCGGTAAATTAAGGCCAATAGTGAACTAATATTGTAGCAAAATGTTTGAAATGACAGAAAGCAAAACAGGATTTTTCCACTTTCTTTTCATTCTCTATTAATTTCCATTTCGCCATTTCTATCATCTTTTCATTGATTTTTCTTTCTGATTAACTTGTTTTGCATTCATTTTTTTTCATTCTTAAACCATTACGGTCAATGAATTAGGTTTTGAAAGACCCTGACCTGAGAAGTGATCAGTACATTTGCACTGTTTATCAAATGGTTGACCAATTTTGGTTTCTCTTTTATTTCCAATGATTTGGAAATTTTTCGGCTAACTTACAAATTGTTTGTAATTCCGAAAGTAAATTGACTTTTTTCATTCTTTAGTGAGTTTTACAGCGTAGAGATGGCGTTAGTGGTAAACTTTTATGAGGTTTCTACTCAAATTGAACAAACAACTCGTTACTGCTTGCAATGGGTTGGCGAACGGATTTGTCGGACTTACACGTTGATTCATAATGAAATGCTAATAACTTTTAAACGCCTTTAAATTACTTTTTTCATCATCTCGATATATCCTTTCACAACATCATAAAACATAGAAATGATTTACGAAACCGATCATTAGGTTCCATAATTAGATACCCTGAGAGACTCAAAATTTGTGAACTTTTTGTCCAACTTACTGACATGATTTACTCAATAAAAATGAATTGCATTTGACTCATCGTTTGACTCATTGGAAAGATTTTTCATGTGTTAACCCACCAGAAATCAATTGTTGATATTATTGTTAATAGATATGAGAAAGCTCATTGATAAAAATAACTAGTCTAACAAATCAAATGTTCACATTGATAAAAGTACTTTAACTTACTGTCTTCGTGCTTAAAGCCATAATGAATGAACTGGTTTCATTCGTTGATGATTTTTAGATTCCCTTTTTTCGTAGTAATTATCATATAGTTAATAGTGAAAAATTATCATTTTTGTACTTTTGATACCGAGTAAAAGTTTCGCATCAGTAGCGTGTTCACGATTGAAACGCGAGCTAACATTGACAGTTGATGTTCGTGCTTTTAGTTTCCAGATAAATGTTAACTACAGCAATTAAATTTAGTCATTCGTATTAAATTACTGCGCCTTGAAAGATTTCAAAATGCTTCAAATATTTAAAATTATAATACGAGTAACTACGACTTTGTCAAAAAATCATTTATTCGTTGTTAACAATCTATTTGTTGCTTTATTATTTTCTTACATATGTTGTTTAGTTATACATAGTGTGATATTCTGGTATTTTCCCGACAAGAAAATACGACAACAATCAATTTTTATTCCAAATCTGGTTTATTATTTATATTTATATATTTTATAGATAGTGCAAAATGATATTTACAATTGACTTGTGTAAAAATGCACAAAACTGAACGGATGTGAATGACGTGGAAACTTTTGGCCCATACACACATGGATTTTATATGACTTGAAATAGATTCAATCAGATGGAAATTCTGAATGATCTTTAGGAAACAATTCAATACTCTTTAGACAATGAGATCCATTAGTTGACATAATTTAAATTTATAAAAGCAAATCAGTTACATTCATCTTTGTTAGGCGATAATTTAGAGTGATCCAGAGAAGGTGCCCAGTACAAGATGCGTAGGGAATTTACAGCGAATTCGGGTGATTATCCTTTTAGTCTTTAGATAACATATCAAGAAGTTGTAAAACATAAATGAATATATTAATGATATCAGTATAGATAGTGATAGCAGCAAGAATATAGTCCTCAGGAGAGAATTGGTTTCTGTGATTTCCTCCAACAATCATTTGAGTGTCGATAACCAAGTAGCAAGAGAAGATGAGAGTTCCCAACGCCGAGTAAATCAATACCATTATTTTGGTCTTGATGAATATAGCAATGAAACCGAATAACATGAAGACCATAAGAACGACGAACATTATTCCAGAGTAAACGGTGAAATCAATCTTTGACTGGAATGCAAATAAAGTGAGGGCAGCAACAATAACCGTGGTCACAATAACAGCATACATTACAATGGTTCCCGATTTGAAAACAGTGATAACACTGAGAGATAATGATTCACAAACTGTGAATATACCCAGGCATATTAAATTAGCCGGAAAGGTGCGGTGGACACCACAACAGGCCAAGGTTATCATGGAAACAAGGACTCCGGCAAGAGCAACGAATCCAAGCCATGAGTGCTGCATCAACCACGCTTTACTACTTTCACTGGCTGAAAATCCAACAATAAAGGCCATCGTGACGAGCAATTGGCAAAATACGATTCCATAAACCTTTCGAATGAAGGCAAGACGAATTGATTTTTCAGAGAAAGCATCAAAATTTCCCATACCGGCCATGCCGGTTTCTCCACCGGATGCATATGAATTATACATTGTTTTGCTTAATGAGATAACACAAAAATTAAATTTTAAGATGGATTTATGACAAAAATACTATCACTTGTTGATGGTATAATACGTTTTAATATTGGACAACTAAATCCGAAGGTTTGAACAAATGAAAGCGTCAACAAATGAGTAATCCGAGAATCAAGATGAATTTGACACTATTAGACGTAGACAATTTTAACAGGATACAATTGTGAGCGAGAACATAAAGACAATAACTGATGAAATATTTACTTTACAATTGCAGCGCAAGAAATAAACACAACATCACAACAGTTATCCTGTAGTTGCTCTTTACCTGAATACAGAAGCTTCTAGATAAAAACAGCTACAGTCAGACATAAAAGAGAGGGATGAAAAGACTGGCTGATGGAGTAAAAGAAAGAAAGAGGAATGGAAAGGGAAAGGGAAAGAAATTTATTTTGTCATGATTCAAATTGCTCTTTATGCATGAAACACCGTTAATTCTAGTTGTTTCCAGTAAATCATTCAATCTATTCAGCTTAATTTTGACTGCTGATAAATCAAATGAATCATTCTATCAAATTGAACTACAATAAAAATTAGTCTTAAACTAAAGTCATAATAATAATCTTTTTAGATTTACATTTCTAAGAAAAAATCATTGTTAATCAATATTACATTGAATTTGATTACCTTGAATGACAAGAATGATAACAAATTATGACAGATAGTTTTATTTACAGTCAATTATTTAAAACTGTCCTACGAAGGTCCAAGGATATAAAAAGCTTCCGAGTCTCAAATTCAAAACAATGTTTATCAAATTCAGTTTCAACAATCAACCTTAAATTGACTAATTCAATGCCTACCAATAAAATTTTAATCCTTTAAAAATTATTGTAATTTGCTTGAAAACGCTCTTTATAATTACAAAGAGGTTTTAATTACAGTTCACAATTAAATGAGTTTACCCTATGATTCAAAGACTTTGACTCGTATGTCACATGTTGATCATACTGTAATTTACAGTCGTAACAAAAAATTGACTCATACTATTATTTTGAACGTTAGATGTCTCTACTCTAAAAATGTAATACAAGGTTTAGGTAAAGATTAAAATCGCAATTTATATTTGTGGTTGAAATCAAAACACAATTAACATTGAGGCTGTTTTTTCCTAACAACTCAATTAAACTCGCGAAGTTGATTGTCCTTAATAAATAAGTGATTTCATTTTTCTCTTTAATGTTTTACATCATCAGATGCCATCATTTTAATCAATACAAGTATCAATACAATATCAATTGTTTATTTATCTTTTTAATTTATTAAATGTAAACTCGAACACAGAAAAGATGAAAATTCAGGTTTAGTGGAAAGGTTCACCAGCTTAACGGCCTCGTTTGTTTACCAAATAGGCAAATATAAATGAAAGTACAATGAGAACTGCGTAAAGGAAAAGCGATCCTTTGTAAATCTCCGTCTGGAACAGGCCGAGTATAGCATTGAGAACCAATATTATACCAAATACAATGAGATAGGCACTTTTTTCAAGAGCAGCTCCATAAAGTCCAAGGGCAAAAATAACGACTCCAATTGTGGTCCAAACAATGAGACGAACTGACCGATCCCTTGAAGAGTCACGGAAATAGATGAAGAAAATGTACAAAGTGTAAATAATGTTAATCACTGTAATCAAAATGATTGACCAGCGAAGTGAAAGGTACAACAAATCGTCTGAAGCCATAATGAACAAGTTGATTTAAGAGTTGAAAGCAGAGGACAGCAAAAATTGGTAACAAAATTGGAAACTGTGATCAACTAATACTAAAAAATGAATGATCTTCACTGGATTATCTTGAAAACGCAAAAAATTAAAGAAACCTTTTCTTCTCTTCTCTCCTTCATCTTAATAATCAGAATCATCATCTCTTCACTCTTTAAGCCAACCTTTTTTCCCTCTTCATCATTATCCACCTCCGAGGTTTCCCTAAATTTTGTTCAAATCTCATCCCATTTCTCCATTTTTAGCCTGTTTCCTCCATTTAACTGTGTTGGTGGTTCAAGCTGCACAAGCTGTTCAGGTTAGTTATGCCGTTCAATGTTTACATCATATTGGTGTGCTTAATATACTTTAAACTTGACCTTTCCATGATCACTTTGATTGTTGTTGATTCGTGTTGTAAGAAGGCGTTAATTGCTATTATTAATTGCAATACAAAACGATCAACAGCCCAATATGATTGAGGTAAAATGAAAACAATAAACTTTCATCGTGATTTCACTCTAACTTTGATAGTCAAGTTTACCGTTGAAATGGTTTTCCTGAACCAACAATTGTAATAATTAGATTAGATTGGACAATTTTTAAGAGCATTTAAGTTTCAGCTTAACTGTAGTTCCTTGTAAATTGATATAGTTGAATAACCGTTGAACAAATTAGATAATTTAGGAAGTTGAAGTCAAGCCAAATGTAAAGCAGCTTCAAAACTGCTGGGTTCAGCATTTTGGGTACTTTTGGTACTTCATCTGGTTCCTTTCTATTATTTGGCTCAATTTATGCTCAACATTGATTATTTTGAGGCTTGGGTTTAGTGTTAAGAGATTTTTTAGTGTTTTGGAACCAAAAAAGGATCATTAAATAATGTTTAAGTTAAACATCCTTGTGAATTGTTATGATATAATCGTTTCCATTGCTCATTTAGAGTCAATTTTCTGGTTACTCTTCAACTTTTCTCAGTTATTCCAGAATTTCTTATTGCTCTCCTCAGACTCATTGTATTTGTTTATTTGCATGGAAACAATTGATCATCAGTTCTATTAATAAGGCTAACAGGATAAATTTTATTACAATTTGATATTCAATTGTTCATTGTGACTAATCATCAATTATGTATTAACATGGCTCAAGATTTTATTGAACAATGAGATAGTTTAGTTTTGAATGTTGCTTTAATTTGTATTCAATTTGGTTTCAATTTTAAAAGTACAAACCAGTTATGGTTAATCACAGTGAAATTAAAACATTGAAATAAGGATTGGATTATTACAATGAATGGTGAATAAAATTGAGTCTTTTCATATTAAAACCAAATGGATAGACAGATTGAATCACACATGCAAAGAAAAATGAAGTTATAGCGTTGAAAATGATGACGGTGATGATCATGATGACAGTTAATGAACAGCAAAATGGCCAATTGATAGACAGGATGATTATAATTGATAGAGATTAAAATATGGTTTATAATACAATGTTGGTTAACTGGTTAAGTGTACAGCTGGCCACTTCACTAGGCTGGTGATGTTGAATCGCCGTGTTCCTTCTTGACCAGATAGGCAAACGAGAAGACAGCAAGAATAACGATAAACATGATAATTATGGCTCCAAAATATTTGGCAAAGGCACCAAGGAAAAAGATTACAATTAACGAGAATCCACTGATTAGAAGCAGGTTTAAATGTTCATACCAGGTTGCGTATAAGGTTAACCCAAAAGCAGCAAGTGAAAGGATGACGTAAAGGTGAAAAATGATTTGAGATGAAGATATATTAATGATCCATTGAACAAGGATAACAATTATGTTTAACCCGATTGTAAGCAGAATTGACCATTTCAATGAGGTGTACAATTGTTTACCTTCAATTGCTTCCATTGTTGGTAATTTTTCCTGGTTAAATGGTTATGGTAAAGTTGAACCGGCAAAGGTTGACCCAAAAGTGAAAACCAAAACAGTAGAAGCAAAATCTTTTCAATAAAAAACGTTTGCTTTTCAATAACAAACAAGTTCTCAGGTAAATTCACAAGTAAATAGTTTACAGTTACACTGGTGTTTTGTTACAATAAGGATGTGAATGATGATGTGAGCGAGGATGGGGATGTGGATGACGATGACGATGATGTGCAGATGATGAGAGAGGGAAGAAAATATTAGAGAGACTTTAAGAAGGAGTGAAATGTAGAGGGAAGAAACTGACTTGTGAGTGGGATTATTGTTTCTGGTAAATCCATACCTAGATCAGAGTTTGGTGAGAGGATGATCAAGTTTTCTTGAGAAAAGTGAAATTTTTACTGATTTTTGCTTGAAAATAAAGATATCTAAATTTGGTAAATGTACAGAGAAAGTTAGGTGGGATAACAGGTTTCTGTTTGGATTGACTACATTGGTTATTTTGATTTATTATTTCTACTTTTCCTGATTATTTTGGGTCTCTTTTTGTTTCAATGTTATTTGAATTGTAGACAATCGAATAGGTTTTGAAAATCAAATTCAGAGTCTGATCCATGAGTTATCCGCTTTGATCCATGAAAACCATTGTTAATCAATATTTGTATTTGTCTTGCAAAACAAGCAAAATATTGAATTGTTCATAATTTGACACAGATGCTTATTACAGACTCAACAATTGTGTGAATTGACATAGTTTTGAACAATTATATTTATGGTTAATGTTAATCTTGAGTTATCAGTGTTTAAGAACTGAATAGCAACTGTTTGAACATCTTGAGTGAAGGTAATTATCAACTCGGACAGTTTCATTATTTAATATTTACCAGAAAATAGTTAAACATTATTTAATTTAGCTTGTTTGTTTTACTTATAATAAAGTCAAATTTTGAGGTTCATTTTAATTTTCCATGTTTTATATTATTACAATTAGAGATGTAATGTTGAGTAATATTTAATTTAATTTATTATTTAATTTTTGTTATGTGAAGTTGTTTAAAAAACGCGCAATTTCTATTGCACATGGGAAGAAGGTTCCGTTTCCGTTCCTGTCTACAGCATTTTTTGTTTTTGTTTGGTTTGGTTCGAGCTTTTAAATTGTTAATCTCAACTTGAATTACCGAATGATACTTTAACCCGTGTATAATACTTATAATTAGAAACCAAAATGAATGCTGAAAAGTTAAGTAAATTATCCAGTCAAGTCCGGATCGGTGGCAAGGTAAGTTATAGTTAATTTAATTTATTTTTATCCTTATTGTACAATGTTACATTTCCTTTCGTTTATCTCATATCACTGTTACACACCTTATTTCATTGTTTCAACTGTAAATTAATTGCCGTTTTTGGTCATTTTTTCTTTTGTCAATTAACCCAGGGTACAGCTAGAAGAAAGAAGAAGGTCATCCATCGAACTGCTACCACTGATGATAAGAAACTTCAAAATTCTTTAAAGAAATTAGCCGTCAACCCAATTCCTGGTATTGAAGAGGTTGGTTTTTGTTTCATTACATTTCATATTTTCCTTGATTTTAGTAGTTGATCCTTTATTATTTGATGATGATTGACTATTCAATTTGTCATCCATTGTTAAAGTCTCTATATTGTTCCATGTTTAGTGTTTTTTTTAATTATTTTATTGTTAATTCAATTTTCATCGAGACAGCATGGCTCTTTGTTTTTTCTCAAGGTTTTCTAGTTTTAACCTCCCTCTTCTTATACTTCATTGTTAGGTTAACATGATTAAGGAGGACGGAACTGTTATTCATTTTAACAATCCTAAGGTTCAAGCTTCGCTCACTGCAAGTACTTTCGCCATCACTGGACATGGTGAAACCAAAAAATTAACTGATATGGTACCCGGTATTTTGACTCAATTGAGAGCTGACAATCTTAACAGTTTGAAAAACCTAAACCCATCCTCTAATCCGGGTGATGCTGCTGCTGCAGACGATGAAGAGGTTCCTGAACTAGTGGGAAATTTTGATGAAAACGCCAAAGAGGAGTAATGGTCACATGTTTAATTAAGTTGATCTAGCTGTTTATATAATGGATTGTGTATTCAATAAACTTTTGCTGAACATCACACACTTCTAAGTTTTGAAAATTGATTACGAACTTGCCCGTAATTATCCAGATTTTATCAGCTATCTTTGAATTGTTTTCCAGTATTAATATTACAATTTAATAAATTAACTGAAATCTTTTCCTTAACGTTAACGCCATCTGTTGTGATGAAAGATCGGTTTCGGAAACAACGAAATTTCAATTCTGGCCAATTTAACCCCCGACTAATGACCCAATGACATTGACTGATTCCAACGATACTAACTTTATTTAAAGAGGGCCTTAAATACCTTTGTTTTAAATTCAGTTTTATTTAAAACTTCTATTGAATGTTTAATCCGAATGACGAAGTCGTACTCAACATCAATATCAATTGTCATGATAACGATAAACAACTGGAGAAGCTTGAAAAAAGATCAATGTTTCAATGATTAACATGTTAGAATCCAGCGAGAAAATTTCACCATTTGTAACTCTTTGCTTTTCAATACCTGGCAAGTTAAATGGTTGATAGATTAGCTTTATTGATTGTTCACTGAACAATGTTCAGGTATATTACAATTTATAGTCAGTTGACTTTACAATTAAGAGACGGTCCAGCGACAACTATTTAATTCACATTGGTATGAATTTATCTTGGTAAAGGTTGATCAAAATTGATAGCCAAATTCGCAAGATTTTATTTAAGCTAAACATTGCATTTAAGCTGTCCGTCGGAAACAGAAAAGTAAAACTATCATGCCGAACTAAATATCGATCCAAAATAAATTAAATTTATGCAATCAACGATTAAAAATTTTTAATTCACATGTAAATTTAATTTTGATTGATCAAGATTTAAACTGGATAAAAGCTACTCCGGATCGACGTTAACTTACCTGAGAAACTAAAACAATCAGTACAAGGCAAATGGTGAAAGTGTACAGAGATACAGGCAAGTACGGCAAGCGCGTTCATCTCAACTCAACAATTTAGGTAAACAAAGATTATATCTATGTAATAGGTTGAGCTTTATTGTCCCCATTAATATTTAATCAATTGGTGGTTCGAGAGAGAAGGTTAACAATTATGGAAGAATAAATTGTAAAGGTTCAACTTCACACAGGGTTCAATGGTAGTAGTGACTGTAATGGTAGCCTTGCCTTGTAGGAGCGGATGATTTGAAGATTGCCTGTGTAAAGAAAAGGGGTAAAAAATGTTGAAAGGTTTAGGTTAAAATTAGTTAGTTAATATAAAACAATCAATAATAATCATGTTAGTAAATTGTAAGCGGAAACAAGTCTTTCAATAACATGTAATAATAATACTGAAAAAATTATGTTGACAAAATTATGATCCATCTTTATTTATATCATTAATTGCTATTCATCATCGTCGTTAGCTCATTCATTAAGTCAGTTTGTTAACCTAAAGAGCGATAAAATCCTTTCCATTTCAATGTTACATAAAACCAGAGATGGTAAGCTTACAACTCTTTGCAACCAAGAATTACCGATTGCATTAAAAGCGAAATTAAATCATAGACTAAAGCTTGATGGAAAAGGCGTTCAATAAATTTTGATTTATGTGAAATGAACAGCAGATGAATAAATATATATATGTAATCTTATTATATATTGTGTTAATTGATTCTCTGATGTTCACTTGATTTCAATATCTTCAGATGGATACCTTATCGATACTGCTTCTCAGATTATCCACTTCATGGCAAAGTTGTGAAGCCTTTCTCTGGATTGCTGATAATTCTTCCATGGAATCGGCATAACACCGATGAACTGAATCGTATCCTGTTTGTAAGTCCTTAATAGATAAAAAGAAGGAAAAAATAACAACAATTAGCAATGACAAAAAACAGCAATAGTCGGTTGAGAAAAAAATAAATCCAAAATAATCCGTTACATAAACTTTTAAGTTGCGGTCAATGGCTGTTTGAATGATCTTCATTTCTCGGAAATTGTTGAATTTGTCAATTGATTGAATCCTCTAGCACTTAAAATGCTAAATAAACTTATTAAAATTTCATAACTGAAAAAATTGAGCTTCATTTGCATGTTCATAAAACTAATTGTCATTCAAGCCTGATATTGTTTCAGGAAAAATAATTGTTTTCAAAACTAACAATCGGATACTTTTGGTACTATCAGATACTGTTGATCTACTTTTATGTAATTTGATTGAGGGTTCGTCTTAAAATTAAACTTTAAACATTTCAAATTAAAAAATTATTCAAATTAATTCATTTGATTTTATTATACTGAGTCCATGGGCTTAAGCAAGCTTAATATAATTAGAAGTTCCGATTAAATTGAACTATTAATAAGGGATACAAATTAAGAGCTCTACCGAGTTAGAGCATAATGTAACATTGTCAATTTTACATGTGTTTACGTTTTTACTGGACACAAGATAAGCTTGATTGTTTATTTGGATTATTCAGTTCTTCCGATAATTAAACAAATGTAAGGTGCTTTTGGTGTTAACTTACTTGAATTTGCCTTTGTTGTTTTTTCAAAGCTGTTTGAAGCTCTTTTGTATATCGTTCTTGTTCGTCAATTGTCATCAATAGATCAGTAACTTCCATGTTTAACTTGTTTTTCACAGTAACTGCTTCCGATTTGATTCGACTTTCCGTTTCAATTAACACCGTATTCAATCGATCCACTTCACTCTGGAGTTCACGGCTTTTCATTTCATTTTGGCGTTCAAATAATTAAGGTAAGGTCAATTAATTAATTAACTAATTAACTGGTATGAATTAATGTAATTTTAAAAATAGCATCATGTTAAGTCAACTGTTAAAAGTGTAAACAAAATCACATCTCGTCTTGATTTAATATCTATGCTTACATGCATTCCTCTTATTTGAGCTGCTAAATCTTCCTCTGCAAACTCAAATTATACTGAAATGATCAAGAAACAATTGATGATGATATAAGATTAGATTATTTAAAAAAGATTTTATTCATTTCTCTCGGAATATACTGTTAACTCAATTTGTTACTAATCTTTCTTTTTTACTCTGTTCTGTTCTTGAAAAAATTTAGATCATTTTAATTGTAAATTTTGGATGGAACCCAAATTTTGGATTTAGGAACAAGGTCATCTTAATCCTTTGCCATCTTTACATTTCAATTATCTCGGTTAATCTGGGCATTGTATTCCTCATCAATCGGTATGTTAAAACGAGCACAAAAGTATGAAATGATACTAATTGAAAATTTTTCATTTATTACAGACGGAATTTACAAATCTTGATCAAGTCTTCCTGATTTAATGCTTACTACGGTCTGAGTTAATTGAAGAGATTGTACCAAGGGAATTTGAATCATCACTATCAGTTATTAGATTGTGCTAGAAATTAAGCGTTACTGAGTCCAATTAAGAAGTATAGGTTAACCGGCGAAGAGCCAAGAGAGCTTTGATTAAGTATATTGAAATGAACACAGAGAAATTATTAATAGCTAATATAAAATACGTTTTGAGACAATTAATTGATAGAATTTTATTTTTCAAGTTAATCAGTTGAAACAGAAGTATGACACATTTAGTATCAATGGATCGTGAATCATCTAGCTTAAATATAAGTTTGCAAATTGGAGGTTAACATTGTTCAATATTTTGAAGCAAGCAATAGAATGATCATTTTGAAGAGGTTATGAGTCTTAAAAGCAGTGAAACCAGCAAATCAACTAGTGTTAAATTGTTGAATAGTCACAATGGTAGTAGTAGTTAAGATTTGATTGTAACGAGAAACTGATTGATCAGAGATGTTAACTTACCATCGGTCCATCCATAAAGCTTGATTTGCGGCATCAACTGAATCAAAGTTGGGTTTAGGTGAAGTGATATTATGATGAGAGGTGTGAGGTGGTGGTGTCATTGGGGAAAAAGGTGGTAAAGTGTAATCATCAGTTGAGTAGTAAGCACTTTCAGGTCGACGTCGAGATCGAGCCCGTCGTGATCGTGACTCTTCAAGACTACTCTCCATGGCATTAAGGTGTTTAATTGATTGGTAAGCATGGAAGGAAGATGATTTCCTTAATTCAGAAGAACCGAATGAAGTCAAACCAACATGAGGAGTTGGTGATACTCGATTAGCCCCAAATTCAGCATCCAAAGAGTCAAAGGCACCAGCTCGTCTATTGAAACGACTTGAATCACCAGGTAAAGGCGATGATGATGGAGGAGGTGCAGAGTGGCCCCCTTGACCAGACATTGATGATAAACCTAAATCTGGTCTATCGGATCGATAACTTGTCTTGGCCATTGATTCGTTATATTTTCGTTCGATATCATCCAATGCTGATGAATAAAGGGAATTACCATAACGATAATTGTCATTATAAATTGAGGTATAAGGTCGTTTCCAGGCTTTTGGAGCGGAAAACTGTCGTGGGGCCATTATATGTCTTTAATGTGTGTTGCCGGTGTTTTTCAATGGATACAATCACATTCACAAATTAATCTGGAAACGTGTAAGTCTCTGTTTTTTTAGCCACTACTAATGGTAGTGACTTGATGTTAGACAGAGTTGATTCAATTTAAAATGAATTAAAAATTATCAAACATCAACAATTAAAACTATTCGATGATTGTCATTGTCTCACTCTCTGTTTTTTTTTGTTGTTGTTACTCTTTCACTTTTTTAGCTCTGTCGTATTCCCTTTCATTGGATTTGATGACGATGAAATGCTTATGTTAAAGGATGATCATGATGTTGGCAATGATGATACTACGAATCAAAATGATGCTGAGAAACTAATTTTGGTCACCTTGAGAGGAAACACACTAAACTAGATCTTCCTTTCCCTTAAATTTCCTCTGCAACTTTTTGATACCTTGAACGCCTTTCTTGGAACCCTTTTCATGAAATCTTTCTTTTCACTAATTCTTCTGTCTTGCTCAGCCTTATTCATCAAGTTATCTCTTGGCTTGATCGTGTTCTTATTCCTTTCATCATCATCTTCATTAGAATCAACATTTAGTTTCTCAATCTTAATCTTCCCTCTTTTTGTGTATCTTTTAGCTTCATCTGGTTTGCTCTTAGCACTCAGGTTCACCCTCAAGGGCAAAGGCTTGTCTATTTGCCAAATCAAAATGAACTACTCCATAATTGTAACTGATTGTTGTCACCTTTGTTGGAACCATAACATTAGTCAAACAAATATTATTGTCAGATATTAACCAGTTAATAATCATGATTAATACAGTTCTATGGATGCAGCTTGGTAAACACTTCCTATGTAAACTTGGCGATTACTTACCCTTAAGTATGTAAACATTACTGTTGTTATTGTGGTAAGAGTGGGATTTTACGGACTAAGGAGGGACATGGGACATTTGAATCAAGATTTGATAGGTTAATCTTTTAAAATTAAGCTAAGATTTAAAATGATGATTGAACTAATTGTTATTTAATACAAAAGCCCACTATTGCAGCAAATCCATATAAACTGAAAGAAGAGAAGTCAATGGGAAAAGATACGGATTCTGCATTTTCCCCCCACACTATTTATTCTGATTAACTGTGCTTGCTTCTTATTTATTGTCTAGGTTAACCCATAAAACACTCTGAAATGAATACTAATTTTAATGGCCCCATGGAAGCTGGTATTCAGCAACCAAACGTGGATCAATTTAATGCTTTCTCCGACAAATCAGTCCGACTTACTTTCATTCGCAAGGTTTACGGAATATTAAGCATACAATTAACTATTACCATGGCTTTTGTTATTGGATTCACATTATCTGATGAAGTTAAAGGCTTTGCTGTGAGAAACTCATGGATGCTCTTTGTGGCCCTTGGCTTTTCTCTAGTCTCATTGATTACACTGGCCTGCTGTGGAGTTCATCGAACATATCCGTCTAATTTAATATGTCTCGGTATATTTACATTGGCTGAATCGGTTACAATTGGTTTCTCCACAGTTTTCAAAAATGCAGAAATCGTATTATATGCCGTGATAATAACCGCTGTGATTGTTATATCGCTAACGCTATTTGCTTTCCAAACGAAAGTCGATTTCACAGTGTTTAATGGTATCCTATTCGTCTGTCTCTTGGTATTAATGTTATTCGGTATTCTATTGATATTCATCAGGGGTAAAACTATGATGCTTATTTACTCGGCGCTCGGAGCTCTTCTATTCTCTGCATATTTGGTTGTTGATACGCAAATGATTGTTGGAGGAAATCACAGAAACCAATTCTCTCCTGAGGATTATATTCTTGCTGCTATCACTCTCTATATTGATATCATTAATATATTCATTTATGTTTTACAACTTCTTGATGTGTTATCTAAAGATTAAAAGGATAATCACCCGAATTCGCTGTAAATTCCTATGCAGCTTGCACTGGTTACCTTCTCTGGATCACTCTAAATTATCGTCCAACTCAATGAATGACATAATGAATGTAACCGGTTTCTTTTATAAATTTAAATTATGTCTACTGATTGATCTCATTGAGTAAAGAGCATTTCTGATAAAAAGCAAGCAAACTTAAATGAATTCAAAAATAATCACCTGTTTGTCTTTTCATTATCAATCATGCAATTGATTTTTAGGCATTACCTCAGTCCGTAAAACCTTATTCTTTTCTGTCTCTTAATTATAAGGGAAGATTAAATATCCTCAATGTTTAATAATCTCTGACAATTAAGTGAGTCATTTCGAAAGAACCGCCGAAATGAATATAAACATATGTTATTACCAAGGCAAGGAACAATCGCTCAAAAACCAAAATAATCATTGAGTTTATAAAAACTGTGTTTGAACTGCTAATTGTTTGACAAGACAAATTTATCTGTTTAGTTTGTTTGTGTTTTGGATTTAAATTGTTCTACTTGTTCTGTTCTGTTCGTTTTGTGAAAAATTATTTATGGCGAGTGAAAAACGGATCCGATTTGCAGACACAGTTGAAGAAGAATATCAGAATGTCTCTGGTACATTACCTTTCGGTAAAAAATTTAAACATACATTGGACAGTGATGAAGAGGATGATGAAGCGAATTGCGATAAGTATAATTGTTTAGGCCCAGAAGGATTTGTTGGAGAAGAAGAGGGGATTGATAGGATTGAGGGCGAAATCAAATTCACAGCGTTCAATATGAAAGAAGAGCTGGAAGAAGGTCACTTCGATAAAGATGGAACTTACATTTTCAAAAAAGACAAAGACGAAGTAAAAGACTTTTGGGTTCAAAATATCGACAGCTGTGCAATCGCAGATACATCAAAGATCACCAAAGAAGATGACACTTCGGATGTAGAACTTGTTAACACTACAGTTATTTACGAGAAATTGTTGGACTTGATGGAAAGTAATGAAACTGTCAAAAGGGCAATCCAAAGATTAGGAGCCGACCTTAAAGAACTGAGAACCAGGAATAGGAAAGAGAAAAGTCCAGCATTAGCCGAACAAATAAAGAGTAAGAGCAAAAAGTTAGAAGAACTTACAGAATTAGCTGATCAAATGGTTATTGGTCAAAATGCTGATGCCGATAATGACAAGATTCCAGATAAAGATAAGAGAACAATTTACGAATTTAAGTACGAAGAAATTGAAGCTATAATTAAAGAAAGGAAAAAGCCGGTTGACATGTTTGGAGATGACGATTAATATCCGACATCAGTCCATAATAATTTGTCTCATTTGTACTTTTCCTTTTCATCCATTTGTATCAATATACAATATTTCATGCATGTTTCTATTTTGTAAAGTTAATTACATTATTTATAAAAAAACAATTTGAGAAAAAAATCAGAAAATCGATGAAATAAATTTCAATTTAATTAAAAAATTATAAATTTATATAAAGTAATTTGAATGAAAAATAACTTTGATTAGATTATTATGGATAGATCAGATTGATCAATAAGCTCAAGAAATTAATTTCAACGTCTCTTAACACTAATTAAACTATCAAGAGTTCCTTGAGTAGACTGGGTTGCATTACGACCTCGTCCTCGTCCAGCACCACGTCCTCGACCACGACCTCTTGCACGGCTGGTACTGACTTGAGATGAAGTAGGCGGTGATTTTCCTACAGTGGGGCCAGTACTGAAATCATCGTCTGACATATTATCATCAATGGTCATATCTTGATCTCCGTTTGATTGAGATGCTTGTGTAAAGAGATGCTTAAGTTCCTTCAAAACTCGAGCTTCGTCTCTCATGTACTTATCCTTTGCGTCTTTGATAGCCTTTTCGATTTCTTCTTTATTCTCAGAATAAATAGCACTTTCGTTTGTAACCATATCGTGTATCTTAATCCGGAAAAAATCAACTGCTTGAGCTAATCTGTCAGTTGTTTGTTCTTTCTCGACAATTTCTTTGATTGCTTCAACCATAATTTTTTCAGAGAGAAGTGTTAACTTATTACGCTCATCCGTATTAGCAAAATATTCATAGATCACATCATCAATATTACATCTTGAGGCAACACTGAATTCCATTAGTTCATCCAGTTCCCCACGATCAAAACTCTCGGAGTCTTTCGAATTAGATCTATTTCGTTTACATTTAAACATTACCAAGTCCTTAGGGTTAGCAACTTTACCAATAAAACGATGACCGAAAAGACCTGGATTAAGGTGGTGGTAGTCAGTGGAATATTCAGCACGAATCCTTATTAACGGTTCTTTAGGTTCCCTTGGATCACCAGAATGCTCAACGGCAGCCATATTGATTACATCTTGAATTTTGTCAGCTATAAATTCAAAAATCACTTGGTTCAATTCATCATCATCACGATCACCACGGTTACTGAGAAGATTGTCGATATTGATGTCTTCACAAATTAAACGTCTAGTCGTTTTAAGAGGAATTGGCTCCATCAGGAAGCTATTGGTATCATTTTCAGCATCATAATAAATGTGAACTAATCCTACATGTTTAGGAGCTGACTCACCAGGACATAAAGATGTGGCAACAGTGCTACCAGGTTGATAGACATAAAATTGATTCTCTTCGTTAAAAGTCATTTCAGTAAAAGATTCGTGTTCATGTCCCCAAACAACAAGATCGGGTAAATTTCCAAGAAACTTTTCAGGTAAATATTTAGTTCCATGAGCAACCCTATTCTGATGAACAACAAAGATTTTGAACCACCGCTCTGAATTACCCTCAGGAGGTATAAAATCAACTCGTTCTTGTAAAAATAAACGATGAAGTCTTTCTTCTGGAACTGCACCGAGGCCATATAGAGCAATTTTATTTTCCTCCTTTTCCAAAAGCAATGGTTGCACATCAATTTTTTCAATATTGACATATTTTCCAAAAAAATTCACTAAACCCATTGCACTAAGAGTATCCAAAGAACAAAGAGGTTCTTTCCCAACAGGATCGTCATGATTCCCATGAATAGAAAAAACAGGTAAACAGATCTTTAAATTTTCATCTTCATAATTAACAACAGGAAAATAACTATGATTAAAATTTACTTCTTGGTCACTGACAACATTGATAGGAATATCTTTAGAGCCTAAACAGTATTTTCTGAGTAGCTCGACACACCGGGTCATAGCTTTAGACGATGGTTTATTTTCATGAAATAAGTCTCCGCCGAGCAAAACGAAGTCAACATCCTTTGCTCGAGCAATTTGCAGTACTTCTTCGAACGTTGTGTAAGTATCATCACCTTTGGAATAACATAGATTAAGACGATTAAAAAGAAATTAAGTAAAAGGAAAAGTGGACAATGAAAGAATATTTACCTCGAAGGACATCTTTTTCAGCATAACCCAAATGTATATCACTAGCAACCAGAATAGTGAACTTTGATTCTGGTAGTAGATCTTGACTAGCCAAAGTTGGTAAAGATGATGGTTGAGTAGACATTTTATTTTGAATTGAGATGAATCAACAATAAGCAACACAATAAGAAAACGATGAAATTAAAAAATTGTAAACCAGCTGAGCGCGCGCAAATCTTAAGGGTCCGTCTCCTAACGAGTTGAGTTGCATCATCAAAAAAGTGAAACTACCGATCAAGAAATAATACATCTTCTCTTTCTTTACTCTTTCTACTCTTTATATCTTGCAAGATTCAGTTTTCAAAGTTTTCAGAAAAATTCATCAAAATTTAAAATAAATTTAATATTATACTTTTTGCAATTAAAGATTGTTGAAATATTTTTAATTTTTTAGATTAATACAATATTTAATAAGATAGTAATAATAAGATAGTTAGGTCAATAAAATTTATTGCCATTGATATCCGTTGACAGGAGGATATCCTCGCTTTAAATACATCGGCGGTCCTTGTTGTTGCTGATGTTGCTGGTAGGGTGGACCTTGAGGTGGCCCTTGCGGTGGGCCTTGTGGTGGACCTTGTGGTGGACCTTGCGGTGGACCTTGCGGTGGACCTTGCGGTGGGCCTTGTGGTGGACCTTGTGGTGGGCCTTGGGGTGGACCTTGCTGAAGACCTTGAGGGGGACCTTGCAGATGTCCTTGTGGAGGGCCGAGTGGTGGGCCTAGTGGTGGGCCAAGGGGTGGTCCAAGTGGTGGTCCGAGTGGTGGACCTAATGGAGGACCTTGAGATGGACCCTGCGATGACCCTTGCGATGATCCTTGCGGTGGGCCTAACGGTGGACCTAACGGTGGACCAAGAGGTGGCCCTTGTGGAGGACCTTGAGGTGGACCTAGCGGTGGACCTTGTTGCTGTTGATAATGCTGATGCTGTTGATGTTGCTGCGGCTGCTGATGCTGATGTTGTCGATCTTGGCCAAAAATATCACCAGGTCCTCTAGGAGGTCCTAGAGGTTGTTGATGCGGCTGTTGATGCTGTTGGTGTTGCTGCGGCTGTTGATGCTGTTGATGTTGCTGAGGCTGCTGATGTTGTTGAGACTGTTGTTGCTGCTGAGACTGTTGTTGTCGATCTTGGCCAAAAATATCACCAGCACCTCTAGGAGGTCCTAAAGGTTGATTTGAAAAATCAGATGATGAACCAGGAGGAGGAGGACCTTGTGGCATAGGAGGACAAATTTGGAAACTTGAAGGCCCAGTAAGACTGGCAGCTTTTTTATTGAAACCAGTGGATAAATGTTGCACCGACGGTTGGATGGTCGCAGGCTGCTCTGTTGATTGATTTACCGTTTGGGTCTCTCCATTTACGACTTGAGGTTCAGCATTTTGCTTTTTAGAATTGTTGCTTGCCACCGGCTCTTCTTTGATAAAAACCGTCATACGAAGTGTATTGATTGTAGCATGACTGCAACATTGGATAACGAAATTCAAGTCAGCGTCATCAGTTATTGTGATTAAATCACCATCCCAGTCTTTAAACTTTACTAAAACATCATCTTTAGGCCCCAATTTTCCTTTGAACAGCCGTTCCATCATGATTATTAACTCATCGTAAGTGATATCCTCGTTGTTAAGAGGTACTAAACGATAATCATCAGCTAAGTTAACCTTTAATATTAATTTATCAAAGACGCCTTTTGATGTTGGAGCAGCTCCAGGTTCGGAAACACTACTACTGGTCATTGTTTTAAATCGGCAACCAAGAAGACAGCAAAGTAAGAATGAATAATTGATTAGAAATTTCAATCAAGAAACAAAATTATATAATGAACAATTAAAACTGATAAATAGGCAATCTAATCGACTTCCGCTGAATCATTGGCATTGATTCATTGCCATGTTGTCAAAAAATCTAAAACTACCGATACTATTTTGTTGTATCAAATCCGTATCGAATATCGCTGAAGAGGTTGCCATCTATCGGATAAGGAGAAAAATCATCTGACAGCTGTCACAGCTGTAAAATTATTTACAGTCGATTCTGACTTTACAGTAATTAATGTATTGGTTTCAATTTCCTTTGGTGTTATTGATCTAATCGTGAGTAATTCCGATGTGCTGTATTAACTTGGCCTCAAAGTATATAGTTCCAAGATTTAATCTTTTATGATACTTTGTGTACGTTTAAAGCTAACTAATCGTAGACATCTAACAGTAGTAGCTCGTCTAATTGTTAATTTTTTATGTTTTTTTCTTGTGCTCTTCTAGTTGGCAGTTAATCTATTTATACAACTCACATAATGGCCAGCTCTTCTCTTGACCCTCGTCACCCTGATGTTCGTCTTAAAGCCTTAAATGATCTCAGTGGGAAAGTCTCTATTGATCGTAGTTTCCAAATACGGTTATATTTCAACTCTGGAAATGAAATGCTTCGGATGGGAAGGCTTTTCTTAAAGGAACGTAATTACGAAAAAGTATATATTTTGTACATGAGATATGTGACTTTATTTCTTGAAAAAATTCGAGAACATCCACAGTATAAAGAAGCTGATCCAGCTCAAAAAAGTGCAGTAATTAAAACTTGCAAAGATATTTTCCCCGTTCTCGAAGATTTGAAGAATAAACTTAAAAGCAAATATGAAGAAGAATACCTTGCTGTTCTCGAAAAAAGGGTAAGTCGAGTTATTTTTCATTATATTCTGGTGCTTTTTACTACAATGCATTCTTATATTTATGTTCGCTTTATCTAATTAAAGGAGCAACAAAAGAAAGAAGAGGAAGAAGCTGAAGCTCGCCGGTCTGAAGGAAAACGGCTGGAATTCCAAAAATCATTAGAAGATCGGTTAGCTGAAAAGATACAATCCAAATTGTCTGAAATGGAAGAGAGACAATCTCCTAAAGATACTGATAAATCAAACCCAATGTCATTAAGGGTTTCCTCGTCACCAACTGCAACGCCAGCCACCACACCCGTAGAAAGAAATAGTCAATTTTCTCTGCCAGAATCTTTTAATGAACCAGGCATTCCAATGGTTGATCGTTCCAATAAACCTCATGGTCTATTTTCATTGGAAAGAAATGAAGGGTTCAAGAAAATAATTGTTCCAGGAGCATTAACTTTGAGATTTTTGGAGCTTGCAAAATCTAATACTGAAAGAAATATTGAAACCTGTGGTATTCTTGCTGGTAGAATCACTTCGAATAATTTCACCATAACTCATGTATTAATACCACCTCAAAGGGGAACCAGTGACTCATGTTTAACCGAAGATGAAGAGAAATTATTTCTTTATCAAGATGAACATGATCTAATAACCCTAGGCTGGATCCATACACACCCATCTCAAAGCTCTTTCATGTCATCAATCGATCTACATACCCACTGTTCATACCAATTAATGTTGCCTGAAGCAATAGCAATAGTATGTGCACCTAAATTTGGTGAAGTTGGTGTTTTTTCATTGACCAATGATTATGGAGTTGATTTCATTGCCCAGTGTAAAACTACTGGTTTTCATCCACACCCAACTTCACCACCAATTTATGAAGAAAGTAAACATGTTATTTTTGAAGACAAAGCGGCAGTTAAGATTGTTGACCTACGATATTAATGAATTGATGATTAATTGAATATAAAATTTCTTTATAATCATAATATTCCTATAAATTGGCTTGCTAATGAGCTTTATGGATACATGGAACATGATTACTATCATGATTAATCTCTATTTTAATCTTTTGTTGTTTTTTTTGTTACATCAGTCAAATGAATTATAATGCTCTTGCAAATGAAATTTTATCCTTTAATTTCGAACATGATAAATCAAAATATCTTGATTATTTTATTAAACCTAGTCTTGTGTAACTTCAAATTTGAAATTAAGGGAAATATTTCTCTAATCAAATGATTATTTAATTGTGAGCATCTTTGTAAAAATCTTTATTTAAATGAAGTTTATCCAATGTTTCTTATGCAAATGATTTAACTTGTTTATCCAAGTCAACAATTTATCTGATAATAATCTCTAAGATCCCATGAAAATGTATGAAAATAAATTTTATTCAAACAATTCTTGGCTCGTTTTGTTAATTAACCAACCTATCATTAAAAAGATTGGTATCAAAAAACGTTAATCAAGCTTCTTCAATAAGTTTACTAATGAAATCAACAAACCGAAGACAATTAGTAAACTGAGTAACAAAATTTACAATTAAATTAGATGAGCATCATCAGGTTAAACAATCAATTAGAATCAACGAAGTGAAACTAATCCAAATTTAAACTGAATTTTCGACATTCTATCCGATCCTTAATTTGAACATAAATAAACACGTTAAAATGACACACAATAACCAATTTTCTTGTTTGAAAATCACATTAAACTGAGCAGAAACAAAAGCGAGTAAAATGAAGATTAATGATAATGAGGAAAACTGAACCAGTCAAGAATTGGAATTTTTGATTCTGTAATTAAAAGACTTTGCCTGTTCAACAAAAACTCATTGACAAAGTTGGTGGAATCTGTTTGAGATGAATTTTTGGAGATGATTCAAAATAGACAGAAAGATTTTTCATCATCTTTCCTCTTCATTTTATTCTCAATTTTACTTTCATCTAACTGTCTTTTATGTCTTCCGTTTTCCTCTGTCTGTCTTTGTCTCCCTTTCAACGATGGAAGATGCTGCACCAAAAGCGTAACTCTAAATGTACTTCGAGAAATGATGAGGATAAGGGAAGAATCGGATGAAAGTTTTCTTTTGTTGGATAACCAAAAATACACATTATGGTTAAAGTATCAAAACAGAATGAGATAACCAAAATTTAACCATGTTCAACCTCTATTGTAATAAAGACAGTACAATTAAAGAAATGAATTTTCAAATAATTGGTAAATTTTTACTCCTTTTAACTGTGATTCAATCTGGATTTGGATTACCTGAAACCTTGAACATTGGTAAGTAACCCTTTTAATATTTCTTGCATTAGAGTTGTCTAAAAGTTGAATCTTTAGTATCTCTAATATGGAAACATGAGATTAACTAATTACTGAGCTTCAAAATGATCCAACTTGATAGCAATATAAGTTAGTTAAGGGTTCTAAATGCTTTGTTTTAAAAAATGTGATTTATCAGGTTATCTCTAGTAAGCTCTGTTAGCGTCTTTTAGCAAAGTAAAGACACTTGTAACAGTTTCTAATTTAACACAGTGACTCAGATCGTCAGATCCCAGATTTAGTCAGTTTTTAGCTCAAGTAATTGTTGACACATCAGGTTAACAGGTTAACTTGTTTGGAAAATCTTGATCTGGATTCTGTAACAAACTCTGTGTCATCAATATCATTTACTATTTGATCATCTTTCACTGTCTTTGTTGTTTTATTTTCTTATCAACACATTTCGCTTCAATCAAGATAACTGTTTACACTTTAACGTCATTTTTCTTTGTTTTGTTGCTTTCGGTTTAGGCGGTTTGTTCACTGTTAACTCATTGGATCAGGATTTAGCTTTTCAAGTTGCCATCCAAAAGGTTTTAAATGATTTTAACCGATTTTCATCAGCCACAGTCCAAGGAATTAAGTACAATGTTTCATACTTTGATAGTTATCAGGCTCAATCAAATGGTAAGCATTTTATCTAGTTATAATATCATCTGCATAACTTATTTTCCTGTTCAAATTTCATCCCGTCTTGACTTATTAAATTGACTAATGGCTTTATCTTCTCACCGTCTTTCTATAATCATCTGCCAACTATCGACCATTTCACTATCATCTCCATCTCTTCTTTAAATTGACTTATTGATTGGTCTGATGTGTTAAGTGTGTAAACTGCTGCAGGAACAAGTAGCAGCTATTATTGACACTACGAGTTCACCTTGTTCTCATCATATTGAAGCAATTTGTGATAATTATGAGATACCTCATATTCGGACCCGTTATGATTGGAGACAATCAATGGGCACCTTTTCAATTAATCTGTATCCTCATCCACTTCGTATAGCTCATGCCACTATAGACTTAATCATTGAACTTGGATGGAAAGAGTTTGCTGTTTTATTTGAAGATGATGAAGGTAATATTCGTGATTTGAAGAATCCTTTTTTGATAATGTTTTGTTTTTTTTCAATCTCCTGATCCAACAAGAAACATGCTTAAATTAATTGACTTTTGCTTCTTCTTTTATTTCAAATCAAAATCTTCAACTCTTCGAATACCAATCGTGTAATTGGTAGACACTGCGTTTGTCAATGAATTATTCAAGGAAACACAAAAGGAATATGAACAAATGATTGGTTTCCCTGTTAATCGTCTTGATTGGACAATTGGTGTTTACCAGTTCTCATCAGTTGACTCGTACCGAGATACTTTTGGCTTGGTCCGACGGAGTCAGTACAAGAATATAATTCTTCATGTTAAATCTGACAATTTATATGATGCACTTAAGCAGGTATTTTCTTAAGATCTTCCCACAATTTTTAAACCTGATATCATAACATGAATCTAAGAAACGTTTGCTGATTAAACTTCATCTCTTTTCATCATCAGGGCCAACAAATCGGATTAATGACAGATGAATACAGTTTTATCCTTACTTCCTTGGTGAGTGGTCAACATAGAGATAAAAGTTATTACAATCATCTGACAAACGAAAAGTGAATTAATGCATTGTTTCACATACTTTTCTAGGATCTCCATGCCATTGACCTGAAAGATTTTAAGTACAGTGGAGCTAAAATACATTCCTATAGGATAGTAGACACAAACAGTGAAGAATCTCGTCAATTTATTCACGATTGGGAAAACCTGGCCCAAGAGATGGGAATTGAACCGTCGGAAACATCGAACAACTTTAAGGTTAAATTGAAATGCCGTCAATTTAAGTTAATGAAATGCAATCACAACATAGACCAGAAACAATGATGACATTACAAGTTGTTGTTGCAGTTGCCGTTTAAACCTCACAGTCTATTATTATGTTAATTGATGTTTGAAAATAAACACCATAATAGACGAAATGGTTGTTAGCAGTTAAAATTTTTTCATATTATCAGTGAAGCTTTCTAGTTTTACGCAATATAACACATTAATAGCTGGAAAAGATTATGATCTATGTTAATATGCAATTCCTTTTATTATTTCAGTTTCTAAGTGGTTTAATGATTTTCTAATATTCGTATTCTTTTCTCTTCTTCTTCTTCTTCTTCTCTTTTTTTCTTCCTTTACTCAGACAGAGACTGGATTAGTTTATGATGCTGTGCTTCTTGTTTCAAATGCCATCAAGGAAGCTGAAAAAACTATGCAAGTCGAGCCAACCTCACTTTCCTGCGAAGAACCACTTACCTGGTCACAAGGGACGTCAATATTAAATTTTCTTACCGCTAATCCGGTATGTCACTGTGTTTGTGTCTCTGTAGAGGTCTGATAATTAACTAATAGCTAATAGAGCTGGCGTCTAATTAAGGGATAATCGTGTGACTACTCTGGGACAAGAAACAGGGCAAGAAAAGGTTGAAAAAAAAGGAAAGTAATAAAGGGAAATTTTTGCTTTTAACTTGAACACATTTCAATTACTTGGGAATTTGCAAATTCAATGTCTGTTGAAATGTTGATGTAAAAATCAAGTTAACAACGAAACCTGAAGTTAGTCATATTGTGAGAGCGTTTCCCATCTTATTTAGCTTGTTTAAACTACTTCGTTAGATGAAAAGATAAGCTAAAATTTCATAGAGAGCATCATCCTGCTGAGAGAGCTTCTTTGTGTATCCATTGAACTGGAAAGTTGGGTTTAAAATCTCACCAAAAATTGTAGTCATATGTTTGCAATAATAAAAAAAAGGAGGAACAACCGATCGTTTGAGGAAACAAACTCAGCATGATAACATTAAAATTACTCTAATTATAGTGTTCGCTATTCACAAATACCGATAAACTTAAAACCTGAGTAGCTTGATTAGTCTTTCATCTTTTCGCAACTTCCGTTAATTATCAAAGACAATCTTACAACCATCCAACAAATTAACCTTTCACTTCTAACCCATTCAACTTAATTTCATCTTTCAGATGGATGGTGTAACTGGAAGATTATTTTTCGATGAAGAAGGCTATCGTTCCAATGTTGTCCTCCACCTGTATGAGCTTTCCAATGAAGGTTTCAATCGTGTAAGTTACAACCAAAAAAGCAACAACAACAACATTCACACATTAGAGCATTTGACTTCACCAAATTTAGTTATCAAATATCCTGTTAAATGGTTATCCTGTAAAGATTCAGGATAGATTTGATTAGATTACCAAATGTTGGTCAAAAATGAAAGATGAGCTGATTGTAATTGTTGTTGTTTCTCAATGAACTCTGATTCGAAAGCAAAAATCATTATTGGTTCGAATTTTGTTTTGCCAAATTTTTTATTCACTTTAAATGATTTCTTCCAATTACTCACTAATTGTTTTTTATTTATTGCATGTTTACTCTTCTTGGTAACAATAATGCACAATGAGGAGATGGAATGCCAAGCAAGCCAAAAACTACATTCAAAACGTTATAGAGACAAAGAGAGTAAAGCCTAAGGCTATTTTGCTAGAGGCCACAATGCCAAGTGACCACACCAAGTTGCCGAAGAAGTTTTACCTGCTCTTACCTTCATCTCTCTCTTCTCTCTTTTCCTAATCGAGTAACTAGAAAACCTTTTTAACAATAGTAATCACAGTGATTGCTGTTACTTTTCAACCTTACCTTAAATTAAAAAATAACTCAAAAAAACCTTGCAAATCATGGCCCGGATATGGTTTTAGACTCACCTACGCAAAACTTACCTCCCATCACTTTTAACATGATCATCTTTACAGCATCTATTCACTGCTTTATCCTACATACCTTGTGACAATTGATACTCTAACAAGCACTTTTCAAGGAGCAATAAGTTAAATGATGAAATGTTCACTTCTTCATTTATCCCGTTTCTAGTGTCAATTGACGTTAAAGTAGATCACCTTTGTTTGTATCACCATCATCATCATCAGCGTTGTTATCATCGCCATCATAATAATATCCTCTTATCCTAAAAACATGATCTTCAAAAGAACGAGAAGAAGCGAAGAAACAGTTTTGCATTCTTCCCTTAAAAATTCACGTCTTCATGGCTTTCATCCAAACCATTGTCATGGGTGAATTTGTAGATTTTTTGACTGAAGGAAAAAATTATCATGAAAATTTTACTTTCAAAAGCAACTCTTGCCAAAGTAGGTAGATGAAGATAACGCTGATGATATTGATGATGAATCCACGTTCAGTAAAAAAAACATAACACCTATTGTGATGATATTAACCACACGTGTATACCTGACGGACTTAGGAAATTAAATATAAAAATCATTCGCAATCAATAGCAATTAAAATGATTAAGGAGATGGAAATTGTGATTTTTTTCAGACAAACAGACGTTTATATTTGAATTTTTGATTCATTACATGATAGTTGTATTATTTCCTGTGATTAGATACTTAATTTTTTAACTGGTGTATGATTGAGTAGGAACACACATATTTAAGCTATTCAATTATGTAAACATTAACAATGAACTTTGATCTTAATTTGCTGCCTCGTTGGTGTCTACAAATGATCAAATCTGAATCACAGCCAAGATTAAAATTAATAACTTACTGTTGATTGTTTTTTCTTGTCTTGAAAAAATAACATCTTTAAATAACATTGTTTTTTGCTAATTAATTTTTCTCTTTTCTTTTTCTTTTCTCTTCTTCTTAATTTCATTAGCTGGGCTTTTGGTCAGATATCAATAAGAAAGGCCTTGAGATTGAAAATAAACAACCGAAATATTATAATCCCAGTGAAAATGCTATCAAAGACCGAATGTTGAAAGTGGTTACTGTGGAGGAAAAAGGTTACACCATGATTAAGAATGATCGGAGACCCTTGGAGGGAAATGAAAAGTATGAAGGATATGTTATCGATTTGGTTGAAGAGTTATCCAAATTTGCAGGCTTCAATTATGAGATTAGCCTGTTTGATAGTAAAGCTTATGGTGATTGTAATAAAACTAGTATGACCTGTACCGGGATGTTGGGTGAGATTACCTCTGATCGTGCACATCTTGCTTTAGTTGATTTAACTATTACTGCGGGCAGATCAGAGGTTGTTGATTTTACTCATCCATTCATCAACACTGGAATATCCGTTTTATTTAAAAAAATAACCAAAAGTGAAACTCAATTGTTTGGCTTTTTATCACCATTCACCTATCTTGTTTGGTGTATGATTACTTTCACCATTATTGCTGTTTCCATCTCGTTCCATGTTATCGGACGATTATCACCGTATGAGTGGGTTAATCCTTATCCATGTCGCCAAGATGAGCCAATCCTGGAAAATGATTTAACTCAAGCAAACGCTTCTTGGTTCATTGTAGCAGCTCTTATGCAACAGGGTTCCGAGATTGCACCAAGGTAATTCCATTCCTGACAGTTTTCACAGATTTTAAACGATAATCTGTACTGATATAAATTGTAATAGTATCTTGATTTACAAAAATGATTGCCAATTATACCAATTGAACTAATGGTTTTCAATCTCTCATCTGCAGGACTCTATCAACTCGTTGGTTAGCCGGTGTTTGGTATTTTTTCACTCTTATCCTCGTCTCATGTTACACTGCCAATTTAGCTGCTTCTTTGACAATAGAAGATTTCAATTATCCATTTTCAAGTGCTAAGGATTTGATTACACTGGATACACCAGAAGTGCAGGCGATCAAATTTGGATGTAAAAAAAGTGGTTCAACGTTGAATTTTTTCAAAGACTCAAACGATCCAATTTACCGTGAGATTTATAATCGGATGATGGAGCATCCAGAGTGGTTGGCCAGTACAAATGATGAAGGTGAAGAGAGGGTCAGAGAAAGTGATTTTGATTATGCCTTTTTTATGGAATCAGCTACCATTGATTATAAGTTGGAACGTAATTGTTCGATAGTTAAAATTGGTGGGCTACTTGATCATAAAGGTTATGGTATAGCGGTTAAACGAAACTCACCTTTATTGCGTATCTTAAATCAAGGTTTATTAGCATTACAAGAATCTGGACAGTTAAGAGTCCTTTATGATAGATGGTGGAAACAGCGTAATGGTGGTGGTGTTTGTGCTGCTAAAGCCGATACCTCAGCAGCAGTTACATCATTCAAATTAATCAATGTTGGTGGTGCTTTTATTGTCCTCCTGATTGGTTGTGGAGTTGCACTATTAATTGCTTTCTGTGAACTATTCACTAAGTTATGGAATACATCCAATGACCCTGTAATTAATTATTCATTGATACTTTTTAAAAGTCATTTTTATTTAGGTATTTTTTACCTTAAAAATTTTATTTACACAATTATTTCTCTTTTTTCTTATATTCAACATTTAGGTATCATTTTGGGAAGGAGTTAAAAATGAATTGCGATTTGCATTTAACTTTCAATTAGCAACCAAACAGGTTACCAAAAATGAAAATCTCATCCAAAGAAGCATTTCTGAGGACAAATCATCTAAAATTTCCAATTTTTCAGCCAAATGATAAACCTGGGATGAAATTTGAATTCTTTACAAATGATATGATTGCTACAATTAAAATATTTACAACAATTGGTTTAACAGTTAATGAATTTCCAACAGAAGGTACAGTGGGCTCAATAGGTACAGAGGGTTCAGAAGAACCAGAATGTTCAGAATCACCTGATCCTTCTAAATATTCTTCATCACCACTTGTCTCACCATCATCACCACTTGTTTCACTATCATAGCCATCTTCATCATCACCAGAGTCCAAGTTATATCGACGATGTGGTGGAAGAGTATCATTAACTTTAAGGTGATCAGAAGAGGCTATCATTTTTAACTTTGTTATAAGATGGAATAACGAAGGTTGTGTTGAATCACTGTCGTCATGTGTTGAAGGTGCATCCTTAGAATCACAATAAACAAAATTCACTAAATCACCTGTTAACCATAAAGTCAATATTATCACAGTATACACTTTTAATTCACTGTTTGTCATATTTTTGAGTTAAACATATTCCATTAATACGTCTGTGAAAATTGTTTGCAACAAAAGTAAGATTTGTGTTTAAACTTTTTACTCTCACAGTTTTAGCTTTTTGTGGAGTTTCTCACTGAGCAACTTGTAAGAGAAGAAGAATTTTTCTCAACTTTTTTCTCTCTCCCTCTTTCTCTATCCTGGCTCCATCTGGCCAAAAAAAGCCCAAAGTACGGTTAGCCTGTAAACTTTACAAAGTCATAAAAACATGTTTCTTAAAGTGCCTATTAATTAATTAATTAAAATTATATTAACCAACCAAATTCATTTTTTCATTTAAATACAGAGTAGTTTTGAAATACCATTTGCTGATTGTCACCATCTTACTTATAATCCAAGTTATTCCGTTATTATTCATACCTTAATATTAACGTTTTAAAAAAATAATCGAAGGTCTCGACCAATAAAAACAACAAGCTGATAAAATCATGAAATGCTTAAAGAATTAAATCCAAAGTAATGTGTTTTCAAGATTTAATCGTTTTCTCAGATAGCAAAGAAATATTTAATCTGAAAGAATAATTTATGGAATCAAAGGAGAGAATAAAGAAAACAAAGAAACAAAAGCCAAATGGAGTCAAATTGAGATGGACAAGTCAAGTTTATTGGATATCCCATATTGTTTAAAATGATGGTCCACAATAACTGTAACACTTCAATGTAAAATACAATCTAAATTAACCAGCAACTGTATTAAATAAGGATAAAGTGCAGGTAAAAAAAGGAAAAGCCAAAAGGTAAGCAAATACAAATAAAATCCATTGATACATAAAAACTAAAACGAGTTACTTAAGTTGTAAGCCTTACGCCAACAAATCCAGTTGAGTCTATTTTTGCTTTTATTTTTTAAGACTGATAAATCTATATTTTTCCCTTCTGATGAAACAATATACTGTCAATCATTAATAAATCTACTTTTAATTACAGTTTCGGTGTTAAAATGGTGAGCTTCCGTAAACTGGTTTGGAATAAAAAAGAATGTCTTTGGATTTTGGCGACATTTGCTTGTTAAAATAAGCCCTTATGCTAAACCGTATCCAGATTTAGATTGATGATTAGTAATTAAGGAATCAAGGAGTGGACAAATAAATGCGTACTTGATGATGAAGATAATAATGACGAAAGGTCGCCTTAATAATAGGGCAAAAGGTTTGAAAGAAAAAGGTCAAAGTTTGGAATGTCAAGTCTCAAAGGAAAAGACGATGACCAAGAAGCCAAAGAGTAGTAATAAGGATAATAAGAGGTTATACCTGTTGAAGTGTAAGATATGAAAAATAAACATTGTGACAAGCCTAAGAAAATCTTTAAAGTAGGTAAAGGTTACCTGTTAAATGGTGAAAGGTAAAAGTTGAAAAGGATTTAACATCAACAAGGAAACAAGCAGCAGCAGCAAAAAAAGTAAGAGTAAGGATTGAAAGGTAAAGGTAAGAAACCAAATTGTCTTGAATCAATCTTTTAACTCGCCAAAACTAGCCTTTTGTATTTCACAGTGAAACTTAATAACAAAGAGCTTGTTTTAAGTCCATAGTAAAGTTGCCAAAAAATAAACCAGGTCACAATGGACCTAAGCCGGAAAAAATATTTCTTTTCATTGCTTTCCTTTTCTCTCTCTTTCTCTCTCCTTTTTACCTCAATCTTCGCCAATCTTTTCCATCTTTTTCATCTCCTTCGCCTTCGCCTTCATCTTTTCATTTTCATCTCTTATTCACCTTTGTTTTCGGCAACAAAAATCACTTTAAATATGTTAACCTTGCTTCTCAAAAAAAATGTACCTGTCGTTAGTTTCTTTTTTACTTTGCCCACATATATTTTTCATCCCTATTGTAACCTGTTACTTTACAAGTTGTTGATGGCGTTGATGAACAGGATTTAGGCATGATTAGGATGATGGTGATCTCAATTTCGATGACAGATAAACCAAATGACGGTTTCAACATTTGATTATCTAAATCCTGTAAAAATCGAACCTGTCATAATTACTCTATTAACACCGGTAAGTACAATAATTGACAAGTTTTTCATCATTTCTGGATTCTTTGCATTCTGTAAACCTGCATAACTTGTAACTTTATTTTGTTTCTTTAACCCAAACCTGAAACTCTCATAGATTAAATACTGGTTTATACCGTCAATGGACTGGGTATGGTAAAGCCTCCACCTAGGATTGATTACAGCGAATGCCAATCATTTAATCATCAAAATCATCGCCTGTTCAGAAATTTTAGCCAAAATTTGCAGCCAATTTTGTGGATATTTACAATCAATGAATGAGATCAAATTTTGGTCTTTCAATTTTTATCTTATACTCTGGGTTTACGTTGATTTAATTGATTGGGTGTTGATTGTGAAGATCCGGGAAAGACTATTTTGACTTGATCTGATCTTCCATTTAAAATTAGGAATTTATCCAATGAATCACAAAAAATTGATTCCATGATAATGAATAATGGCAAAACTAGGATTGTCTTTTTTACCTTTTGTAATACCTTTTCGGCTCCTCTTTTTTGGTACTTTGTTAGAAGGTTGTTTCTGTTGTTATTGTTGTTGATGACTGGTTATTTACACACTCACACAGACAGAGAAGAAAAGAGAGAGAGAGAGTAAAACCCATTTTGAAAATAGACATACAGTCACACTCACACAAATACACAAATAATTGAAGAAAAAACCACTAAACTTTACCATAATAATTTATGTAAAACCTAACAATTGATGGTGAAGGAGAGGTTGCATTGAATATAAAAGACTGATTTGCTCAATGATTTGGACCAATTTTTCGTTGCTATTGAATTAAACAAGCAATTTTTGTGTACCCAAACAACGTAAGAAAGATATTTTTTCAATTGTATCGTATGAAAGTTGCAATTAATCAATGATCTATTAGAGTCAACAATGTTTTCTTGCTTGCTCTTGCTTTGTTATTCTTGCTTACTTTTGTCGTTTCATAGTTTATTCATTCAGCTATTTTATTTTGTACAACACGAACACCATTGATCATAATCTGATCATATATGGTCAGACTTTAGTTATCGTTGAAGATGTGTCTGCTTGTTATGGTAACTTCGGATGTGGATTTGGTGAAAAATGATGAACAATTAGCATAATGAAGGTTATATGATGGGAAAGATGAGAAAAATGAGTGTAAAGGTAAACACAGTAGGAGGAACAATCATGTGAGATGAAAAGGTAAAGACGAAAACAATTAGGATAAATTTAAAAATCAAAAGTAAATGTACAATGTTTAACATGTCAGTATTTTCACGTTTCACCAAATGGTCGGTAAGAGGGAAGATAAAAGAAAAGGTTAATTAGCGGTTCTTAAATAAATGATGAAAGTTGAAGAGTCTGGACAGCAAGTTAAATAATGTTATACAATGTATCACCGTTAACAATCAGTTGATATTTCCAGGATTGTTAAGATAATAAGATCGAAAAATACTAGTATTTGCAAACGAACCGGATTTATATAATATGTGACTTCATTTAAAAAAAATTTCACTGAAAATTCTTGTCTAGTCTCGGTTAGGATATTGATCATTTATGGACTCTGAAGTAATTAAGTGACGATCGTTTCAATTATGACAAACATGTAATTGGTTGCATTAATCATATTCATTTGACTTGTTTTGATAATTTTTTCTCACCGAAATATAAATCGGAAAAAACGAATCGGAAATATTTGAGTGCCGTCCGGAAAATATAATTTAACAATCCTAACCAATTAACCTTAAGGAATCAAAGTGATACTGATCAGTGTATTACATACTGAATAATTATCGAGGTAGAAGACAGCTGTGAATATCACTGCACTAATATTTATGCTTGAGACCCTAAATTGATTGTCGAGAGTATTTTTGATGGAGTGATATGACATTTACTCAACACCAATAATTTCTTATCATTCATTTTCAATGTCTATAACCAAGTGGAATCGACGAAACGAAAACAGGTCCATGGTGGAATGTGTGACAATAAATTTACTTTAATTGTTATAAAAGTATAATTTGCTCCGGTTTATGTTTGACTCGAACTACTCATCCTTTTTTTATTTAATTCATGCTTTTGACTTTCAATGTGATGTTTTATAACGGATAGTTTTTTATGATTAAGGATCTCTCCACAAGCTTTACAGTGTAATACATTATTAATTTCGTAAAAAGTTTCATCTCGATATCTTTGTACTCGGGCGAAAGCGGACGTTCTTTGCATGATAGATCTACGTTTAACTCCGGGAAGCTGGTTACTGGTCAAAGGTTCTGGAATGAAGAGTGAAAATGATGATAAGTATACAATCGTCTTTTAAATGTAACGTAATTTGTATTCTTTTTCAATATCAATTTCTTACCAAGCATTAACTGAGATATATTTGCCGTTTCAGTGACAGTCACCATAGGCACATCATGATGTGGAGAGGAATCGTGAAGATGAGTATCTCGATTGTCAGCTGTGATAATATTGTCTGGTTCGTTCTCAATTGGATTCTGGTCTCGATGTCTTTGTACAACGTCGGTTAAACCTTTAATCTTGAGAGTTTCAGCAGTTTTAAGGACAGAGCCCAGCTGACTTTGAGTAACATTGATTTCACCTTTGTACATAAAGTCTATAGTTGCCTTGAGATCGACAAATCGTATATCCTTCAGGATAACAATCGGATGTTTACACGGATTTGAAATGAAAAGGCTCTGGAAGAAGGGACTGCATGCGGCTAGAATCATTTTATGAGCTTTCAGACTGGCTCCTTCACATGCAATAGTAACATCTACCATACTTTCATTAAGAAGCATGTTATGAAATACATCACTTAAGTTAGTATGGAAATTATTCCATTTAAGACAAAACTGCGGCTCAGTCATTTTGAAAATAAAGGCACAAACTAAAAACACAATAAGCACAAATCACACAAAAAACAGACGAAAAGCATAATTTGTTTCATCAGCTGGTAAAAGTAAACCTAAAGTTAGCCGGCTAAACTGCCATCTATTGATCTTGAAAGACAACATCTTTTACTGAAAACGCATTAAAATGTAAATCAACGCTAATTGTTTCTAATCACGAAGTCATTGTGTTTTCTTTGAAATCAACGCTATTTTTTTCTAATCACGAAGTCAATTTGTATTATGTAATTACTTCCTATTTGATGCAACTATAAGTATTTATTGATCTTCGTTAAATTGAAAAATGGATTACTTTTATAACACAACAAAAACAACACAGTAGTAATTAAACCGAGTGAGCCTTTTCTTGATATTTGGTCACAACAAAGACAAATTGTAAAACCCTTCACTGACTCCACATCGTTAAAATGTTAGCTTACATTTTTGTCGTTCTGCAACGATATATTTGGCAATGAAATACGTTTATTTTTCTGTGATAATTAAGTATGTCATCATTATGGACCTGATAAAAGCAAACAATTATAAAGTGTGTCGTAATCAAAGTGATAATGATAATTCTGTCAACATGAATTTGCATTTCAAAGATGGTCCATTTGAGTGAAAAGACTTGGTAAACCTAAACCTAATGTCAATGCAATAGTGAGAATGGTTGACACAAAGTTGGTTGTTATGATACATAATCCACCAAAAGTAAAGCCAACATCATGTTGATTTATTCGCATCAAGAAAAAGTTCACCTGTACGAGATAGAACTAGATTTAAGTAAAACGTTTGGAATATCCTTATACCCGATAGACTAATAAAAAATGATGAAACATACCTCATGAATGAACTCATTGGTTTTATTTTTCATCAATGTGAATGAATAGACTCTATCATAGACAGAGATTGACAATTTGTTAATACGGACCAGATAATAAGTCACTACAGCAACGTAAGCTGATTCACCAATGAACCTTATAAAATTACCAGCAGTTGAGCCATTTGCTACGTAAAAGAATCGACCAAAAATGGTCAAACAATATCCAGTGTAATAAACATAGAAACCAAATATGAGATATCTGTTGAATTTATCGAGTTGGCGAGTAGCTATTATTGCCTTCATGTAAACCGAACGAATGGACATTAAAACGTGATGATTACTTCCAATGATATGCAGATTGGTTTGATAATGTAACAAGTGGTTATCAATAACAATGAATACAGATTGTAGATACATGCAAGATTCAATTATCAAATGGACAATCGAAAGCCAGGTGAAAGTTGCCAGGAAGAGTATTCCATGTAAAATTATATTGGAATAGTTTAAAGTTGCAAAATCATTTAGCATTGTTTTCAGATCGCTCCTGATAATATCAGATGTACATTCATATACACACATACAGGCCAACATTTTCAATATTGTACTTTGACTTATATTTATGTGCTCATTCGCCACAAACGAATTGTCATCGAGTATTTCATGTAATGTCTTCATGAACTGTGCATACAACGATCGAGTGTAAAAGGCATGAATAAGAACCAAACAGTTGTATCCAATGTAAAATGTATTCAAAAGGCTTTCAAATTTGACTAAATTGTTGTTCAGTAAATAAAATGATGAAGAGTCAAATAACACCATATACGTTGGATAAAAGAATCTCACCATGTATAGAAATATTAAAAATGCATAAAGAAACTGTGAAAATCTGTCTTTCTGTAAAATCGCTTTAATGATGATGCTGGATGGACTTGAAATTGTCGTTGATTGGTTCCAATGTCTTATTTCTGGCATGGTGTGAAATAATTACTAAATTATCGGATGAAAATTGCTGCAATACAATGCTAACAACTAAAAATTGAACTTTAAATAAACTTAAACCAGAGTTTTGAATTACAAATGAATCTTCAGCCAAATGTTTTTCAGAGCCAATAATGCTATAATAATAGTTTATACTTTGAACAAGACCCAGACAATGATTTATTAATATAGCAACCATAATATAAATAGTATAAAGTATAAAAGGTAACAATGTAATCTTTTTGGAAAAATAAAAATAATAAAATTAATTCTGTCAATAGCTGTCAGAAATGGTATAAAGCATTCAATCTTAAATAACTTAATCTTAAAGACTATTTGAAATAAGACGTTGCCATAGTTCAATGTAAATGTCCTTTGTTCATTTAGATCTTTGTTTCTTTGCACAAAATGCCCATTGTAACTTGAATTATAAAAATCAAAATTAATCGATTGTGTAAATCAATACGGAATAGATTCAGCTGTGAACATATTCCATGTAAGTCGAGCAACTGTTGCCCGAATAATAGAAAACAGATAAGTGATTGAAAAACGAGTTGAACAAGGAAAATCGCCTGAGATCGAGATTCGCCTGAAATATAATAGATTACCAATAAGCACAAATCACCCAAAAAATAGACGAAAAGCATAATTTGTTTAATCAGCTGGTGAAAGTTAACCCAAAGTTCGTCGGCTAACTTCCATCTATCGATCTTGCAAGACAGCATATTTCACTGAAAACGCATTAAAATGTAAATCAAAGTTATTGAGCGTGTTTAATTACAACAATTTGTACTGATTTACAATAATATTTTGTCACATGTCACTAAGCAAGGTTTAATCACAATTACAGACCAATGAGTAGCAAATTCACTTTCAACCCAAACTCCAAACAGTAACACCATTTAGCCTTTACTAACATTCGGACCTTAACAATGTTAAAAAATATTATTAATTTTTCTCTTAACTTTCCAATTACAATATTATCAACAACAATTATGTTGATTGCTCTAACAGATACATTCTTGTTACCCAAAATGACAACCAGATTCTGATACAACTCACCAGAACCAACCTGAGTCAGCGTAAGTAATCTAAATCTTAACCCATTCCAACAACAATTCAACTTTTCAATTTGCATTTCAAAGATGTAAGTGCAGTTAAGTAAAAAGACTTGGTAAACCTAAACCTAAAGTCAATGCAATAGTGAGAATGGTAGACACAAAGTTGGTTGTTATAATACATAATCCACCAAAAGTGAAGCCAACATCATGTTGATTGATTCGCATCAAGAAAAAGTTAACCTATACGAAAAAGAAATGTTAATATTAATTGAAACCAATAAGATCATAACAGACTAGAAAAAAAGATTGTAATTCAGTTAAAAAAATAGATAGAACATACCTCATGAATGAACTCATTGGTTTTGTTTTTCATCAATGTGAATGAATAGACTCTATCATAGACAGAGATTGACAATTTGTTAATACGGACCAGATAATAAGTCACTACAGCAACGTAAGCTGATTCACCAATGAACCTTATAAAATTACCAGCAGTTGAGCCATTTGCTACGTAAAAGAATCGACCAAAAATGGTCAAACAATATCCAGTGTAATAAACATAGAAACCAAATATGAGATATCTGTTGAACTTATCGAGTTGCCGAGTAGCTATTATTGCCTTCATGTAAACCGAACGAATGGACATTAACACGTTATGATTACTTCCAATGATATGCAGATTGGTTTGATAATGTAACAAGTGGTTATCAATAACAATGAATACAGATTGTAGATACATGCAAGATTCAATTATAAAATGAACAGTTGAAATCCAATAGAAAATTGAAAGAAACATTATTCCATGATAAATTATATTGAAATAGTTTAAAGTTGCAAAATCATTTAGCATTTTTTTTGGACTGCTCTTGATGATTTCAGCTGTAAATTCATATACGCAAATGAATGCACACATTTTCAACATTGTACTTTGACTTTTAACTATGTGCTCATTTGCCACAAACTCATTGTAATCGAGTATTTCATGTAATGTCTCCATGAACTGTGCATACAATTTTCGAGCATAAAAGGCGTAAATAAGAATCAAGCAGTTGTATCCAATGTAAAATGCATTCCAGAGGCTTTCAAATTTGACTAGATTGTTGTTCAGTAGATAAAGTGATGAAGAGTCAAATAACACCAAATACGATGTAATGAAAAATCTGACCATACATATGAGTATTAAAAATGGATAAAGAAACTGTGAAAATCTGTCTTTCTTTAAAATCGCTTTACTAAAGATGCTTGTTGGACTTGAAATTGTCGTTGATTGGTGACCAATTCCTTCTTCTGACATGGTGCGAAATAATTACTTCGTATAGGATGAAATTTACAGTAATACTAATGCTTGGATTTGATTATTAAATCAACTATCACCAGGGTTGCAAATTACAAATGAATCTTATTGCAGAAAAAAATGCACAATAGTTAAGACTTTGAACAAGAGACAGACAATGATTTATTGATATTTCAACTATAATATAAATAATGAAAAGTATAAAAGGTTATGTTCATAACAAAGTAGTCTTTTTGAAAAAATGAAAATAAAATTAATTCTGTCAATAGTTGTCAGAGAATGGCACAAAAATAGCATTCAGTTCTCAATATTTAGGGACGAAAAATCGAAACATTGAAGGTAAGAATTGTTACATCAGAAGTTTAAGTTTTGATTTAAACCAGAACAAAGATTTATCACAATAAAAAGGAGTCATTCGTCAACATGTCAATGTTATGATCAGACAAGGTTAATATTGTCCGTTTTTCAACAAAAGTTCATACAGAGAACTGAGAATCGAGATTCACCTGAAATAGATTACCAATAAGCACAAATCACCCAAAAAATAGACGCAAAGCATAATTTGTTTTATCAGCTTGGTTTCAGTTACCTGAAGTTAGCCGACTAATTACCATCTATTGATCTTGAAAGACAACATCTTTTACTGAAAACGCGTTAAATGTAAATCAAAGTGATTAAGCGTGTTTACTTTTGCAGTTGAATCTTTATAATTATATATTGCCAGTGAGTCTGATGAGTTTTAAGTTAATTTGTCCCCGAAGCAAGGTTTAATCACAATCACTTTCAACCAAGCACACCAAGAAAATTGACTTTCAACCCAACCAGTAACACCATTTTGCCTTTGAACAAAATTCGGACTATTAACAGTTTTGAAAATCAAAGTGTTTAATTACAACAATTTGGACTGATTTACAATAATGTTTTGTAACATGTCACCGAAGCAAGGTTAAATCACAATTACAAAGTAATACATTCCAACAACAAATCTAATTTTCCAATTTGCATTTCAAAGATGTCAGTGCATTTAAGGAAAAAGACTTGGTAAACCTAAACCTAAAGTCAAAGCAATAGTGAGAATGGTAGACACAAAGTTGGTTGTTATAATACATAATCCACCAAAAGTGAAACCGACATCATGTTGATTGATTCGCATCAAGAAAAATTTAACCTGTACGAAAAAGAAATGTTAATATTAATAGAAACCAATAAGATCATAACAGACTAGAATTAAGCAAACTGTTTGAAATATCCTTATAGCCAATTAGACTAATAAAAAATGATGAAACATACCTCATGAATGAACTCAATGGTTTTGTTTTTCATCAATGTGAATGAATAGACTCTATCATAGACAGAGATTGACAATTTGTTAATACGGACCAGATAATAAGTCACTACAGCAACGTAAGCTGATTCACCAATGAACCTAATAAAGTTACCGGCAGCTGAACCATTGGCTACAAAAAAGAATCGACCAAAAAGCGTCAAACAATATCCAGTGTAATAAACATAGAAACCAAATATGAGATATCTGTTGAACTTATCGATATGGCGAGTAGCTATTATAACTTTCATGTAAACTGAACGAATGGACATTAACACGTTATGATTACTTCCGATGATATGCAAATTGGTCTGATAATATTCCAAGTATTTATCAATAACAATGAATACAGATTGTAGATACATGCAAGATTCAATTATAAAATGAACAGTTGAAACCCAGGCGAAAGTTGCAAGGAAGCGTATTCCATGTAAAATAATATTGGAATAGTTTAAAGCTGCAAAATCATTTAGCATTGTTTTTAGATCACTCTTGATAATATCAGACGTACATTCATATACACACATACAGGCCAACATTTTCAATATTGTACTTTGACTTTTAATTATGTGTTCATTTGCCACAAACGAATTGTTATCGAGTATTTCATGTGCTGTCTCCATGAACTGTGCATACAACGATCGAGAGTAAAAGGCGTAAATAAGAATCAAGCAGTTGTATCCAGTGTAAAATGCAATCCAGAGGCTTTCAAATTTGACTAGATTGTTGTTCAGTAGATAAAGTGATGCAGACTCAAATAACACCAAATACGTCGGATAAAAAAATCTCACCATGTATATGAATAATAAAAATGCATAAAGAAACTGTGAAAATCTGTTTTTCTGTAAAATCGCTTTGCTAATGATGCTTAATGGACTTGCAATTATAGTTGGTTGGTGGCCAATTGTTTCTTCTGACATGGTGCGAAATAATTACTTCGTATTGGATTCAATTTACAGGAATACTAATGATAACAACAAAACTTGTGAACTAAAACTAAAGGACCTTTTAAAGATGTGTTTGCTCTTAAATTAAAATAAGACCAGTTACGTTCATTATACGCAATGAATGGCAAAAATTGATTGGGAATGGCCTTTGGTTGTTGAATGAACTATCACCAGGTTTAAAATGAATCTTTAGACAAATGTTCATCAGAAAAAAATGAACTTTGAACAAGAGACAGGCAATGATTTATTAATATTGTAACCAATTTATAATAAGATGAATAATATAAAAATTGTAAAGGGTTATGTTTATAACTTACAACTTCTTAAACAAAATAGTCTTTTTGAAAAAAATGAAAATAATATAATAAAATTAATTCGTCAATAGTTGTCAGAAAATGGCACAAAACTAGCATTCAATCTTCAATATTTAGGGACTAATCTCAATAAAAGGTAAATCAATTGAAGGTAAGAATTGTTGCATCAGAAGTTTAAGTTTTGATTTAAACCAGAACAAAGATTTATCACAATAAAAGGAATCATTCGTCAACATGTCAATGTTATGATCAGACAAGGTTAATATTGTCCGTTTTTCAACAAAAGTTCATACAGAGAACTGAGAATTGAGATTCACCTGAAATAGATTACCAATAAGCACAAATCACCCAAAAAATAGATGAAAAGCATTATTTGTTTCATCAGCTTGGTTTACCTGAAGTTAGCCGACTAATTACCATCTATTGATCTTGATAGACAACATCTTTCAATGAAAACGCATTTAAATGCAAATCAAAGTGATTGTGCGTGTTTAATTACAGCTATTTGAACTGATTTGAGATAATATTTGGCATAATAAATGCAAACTAGTCTCAGGTTTCATTGAGAATCTGAAAACCAATGTAAACATGGTTTAATTTGACCGAGTAAGTGTTTGTTTGCATAAAAAAATCAGGTTGATTTGTTGAGGGTTTTCATTAAATAAATAACAATTGAAATGACCATATTTAAACAGGAAACTGGCAAAATTAAATTATTAAAAGATTGAAAAGTGAAGGTGAATCATAATGAGATTTAACAATGATCAATGTAGACAGTTAATCAACAAAATTCAGACAACACCCTAATGATTAAATGAAAGCTCAGCAAGCGTCCAACAAAATTGGGTTTAATAAATATCTTTTAACTCTTACCGTCCAGATTAGCTAATTGTCCATTTATGCTTAGTTAACCTAAAAAATATTCAATTATCAAACGGAAATATATTCATTCATCTTTGTATTATATTTAATCACGGCGACAAAATCAGTTACTTTTGTAGTTGAATCGTTATAATTTAATATTGCCAGTGAGCCTGATGAGTTTTAAGTCACCAAAAGCAAGGTTTAATCACAATTACAGACCAATCAGTAGCAAATTCACTTTCAACCCAAACCTCAACCAGTAACACCGTTTTGCCTTGCTAACATTCGGACCTAACAATGTTAAAAAATATTATTAATTTTTCTCTTAACTTTCCAATTACAATATTATCAGCAACAATTATGTTGATTGCTCTAACAGATACATTCTTGTTACCCAAAATGACAACCAGATTCTGCTACAACTCACCAGAACCAACCCGAGTCAGCGTAAGTAATCTTAATCTTAACCCATTCCAACAACAATCTAATTTTCCACTAATTGTCTAATTTCAGAGTCAATGTGTTTTGTGTAATTACTTCCTATTTGATGCAACTGTAAGTATTCATCTTTTGCTATTTAATCAATTGAAACCCAAATCTTAATCATCTGTTTGTCTTTCAGGTTATGGGCTGCACAGGATCAGTAAGTTAACCTTTACATTTATGTCTATTTCCTTGATTGTGTTTTCATGTTTTTTACAATTTAACTCAATTAGACTGCCTTGAATGTTAACATAACAGCAACACAAGCCTTTTGCCTGATATCACAATGTTTAGGGGTAAGTTGAAGGCATTTACATCGTTTGTTTTGCTAATTTTGTGTTCATTTGTTTTTCCAGCAAATCCGTCAAACGCCAATGTTTTTAGGAAGGAAACGTCGCTCCTTGGATGATGATCAACTATCCATTGATGAGGTTAATCAAGAGAACGAAAATAACCTGATGATTGATGATCTTACCAAATCAAAATCAGATGAAATTCCAGAGATAATTGAATACAATACAGATGGAGTGAAACAACAGTTTGCCATCAAGAAAGATGTTGAAGCAACCGTTATTGATCTAATTGGTTTGGATGAGGATTAGATTCAAATTGCAGACAACTTATTGATTGCAATTCAACTATTTAGTTTCTCGTTTTTCAATCTATCTAATTACTGTCTTGAAATTTAAACAAAATTAATGTGAAATTTAAGAGGGTAAACAATTCATTTTTGCGTTTCATTGAACAAATGTTATCAAACTTGCTTTATTTATCTTTTATGACACTCTGTAAGTTGATTACTGCATCACTTTGACACTTTTTACCCAATTAAAAATATCTTTCAAATGAATCATCAATATTCATGTGAAATATTAATTAGTTTATTGGAATCCATTAACCTCAAATTGCCCTGAATTTATTTACATTGGAAAATGAACTCAAATTTTTTAGTTAGACAGACTAAATCAATATTTGTTGTTTTAATTGTTTGCACAGTTGAATACAATAATTTGGTTTTGTCGCAATGTAGTACAAAAATGAAAATGTGATTTTAAAATTTTTATTATGAAACTAGAGCTAAGATTATCAGGTTTGATTGTTGCACCAATTAATATTTATCTGTTGACTCATAATCTCCCTGTTTGGATAGAACTTATTATTTATTATTTCTTGGAAATTTTATTAATCAAATTAATTGTAAGTCTAATAAATTAATTGCTAATTATAAATGGCAAAATTAAAAGTAAACGTTATTGGCGGGGTCTAGTAGATGGCGTTTACATTTCATTGTAAAATGAGGGAAATGATGTTTTGATTGTTTTGGTTAGTTTATATTCAATTGGTTTTTAATTTTCTGTGGTTATTTGTATTTATATGACAGTTTTTTAATTGATTGCGTAAATTGAAGGAATTTGTCTAAATGAGTGACTCAAATGAAGAAGAAGAGCTATTCAAATCCATTCTGGGGAATCCTTCAGCTTTCATTGTTGACCAACAAAAAGATGCTCCTGAATTGTCTGATGAACAGCGACATAAAATACTCGCTGATTTGTACCAATCGAAAAAATTAATATTCCTGGTGAGATATAACAAGTTTCTGACAAAAGAGCAACTTGAGTTTATTCGAAACACATCGTTAATGGATGAAGAAGTGTTGTATTTTTTGGATAAACTGATTCCGGGTAAAAATATCAACCAGATAAAACAGAGGCGATTCACAGCATTACAAGCTTTAATAGCTGATGGAGACTATTTCAATGATAACAATATGAGAGAGAGAAATCCCTATTTATACGAGCAAATGGTTGGCAGGTATTTATCAAATCAAGAAAGAAGTAAAGTTGAAGATCAAGATCGAGATTTTAGTGATGTGCAAAGGCCACTATCAACATTCTTACTGCGACAAATGGATAAAAACCGCATAGAAGAATCAAGAATAGAGCAAAAGTATATAGATGGTGGTCAATACGATGAACATAGCAATGACAATGGTTTCTTAGAAAGAATTCAAAAATACAATCGACAAGAAGATGGCGAAGAAGAGGAGGAAGAAGAAGAAGAAGAAGAGGAAGAAGAAGAGGACGAAAATGAAAAGGCTATCAAGAACGGTAAACTTGAAGCGATTCGAGTAGCTGATCAAGAACATAAACAATATTTAAGGAAAGAGTTCACAAATATAATGTACGAAAATTTTCTCGCCGGCAGAGACTCCAGTTTCGACTACAAAACTGTCGATGATGACGATAAATATGACCCAATCAATCTAATGGACCGTGATGCTGAAGAGTCTTATTTTGATTCAGAGGAGCCAGATTAGGGTTACCCGAAATCCGTAGTTATCAAAATTTGTTATTTATGTTGGAATGTTCATTCTTGAACATTAAAATTTGTAAATATTCATTACTCCCGGTATAATCCATTAAAATATCATGTTTATTATTATTTTTGTGAAAAAAATCTACTCAGAGTTAACAAATTACAAAACTTTGATGATTTGTCTTGCTCCTAAATCAGATTGTACAACTACTGCTGAGATATAATTACCTTTACCATAATCATCGATTTCTACATAAGCTGTAGCACGACCGCGAGGACCAGAAAGTTTAAAGGCCATATTCATTTTGATTGTTCCCTCAGGTGTTTGACTGGTAACATAGGCAGGTTGATGTCGACCTCTCCTTCCCCATGTTGCTGAGCCGAAAGATTTCATATCTTTGCCAAGTAAATCAATGACGCGAGAATCTTCTTTGATTAAATCAAATGCTTTACCTTGGATTTTGGATGGCGAACTGGACGAGAAAAGCTCTTTGAAAACTGTATAACCGATGACACCAAAAAGAACCAATCCACCCGCAAAGAAACTCAGGTAGAAAATCAATTTAGTCCCATGAACAACCTTCTCGCCAACAGAAGTAGAAACCTTGTTTTTATCATCACTAGTTTCCTCGCGGTGTGTTAATGATTGTTTTGATTTACTTGATGCTTCATTCGATTGGTGACATCTAACAAAACACTGATGGTTAATTGTATACAGTAGTTTAGTGTTACTGTTAATGGATATTAATCGTGACCGAAAACAGTTTAAATTTGGAGACAAAAATCGAAGAAGAATCATGTTTATGGACTAGGTTCTTTGTAAACATACAGCTGATGCATATTATGCTTTTACTGTCTTCAGCTGGTTCACTATTTTTAAAGCTATCAGCTGGAATGAAATCACTTAAATATTTATCTTTATTTCTTACTCTTGATGTCTGACTTTCAAAGCATATTTCACAAATTATCTGAAATTGTATAAAAATTAATACGATTACAATTTGTGCCTGTGGTTTGTTATTTGCGTTGAAGATTTACTATTGGTAGCTTCGTAGGCAATTGTAGGGATTTGATTGATTTCCAGGAAAAATTTTAAAGATCGGTGGTTCTATAAAAATTATGAAATAATTGTATGAATAATCAAATATTTACTTATCAATAAGTTATTGACAACTGAAAAATATAAAGCTAATGATTTCAGGACTAACATGATACATTTGTGTATAAACACACACTCTGAATTAATTTTTATTTATTTTGAAAAAATTAATATGTTGATTATAAATCAGTGATTAAAAATGATAGTTCCTCCAAATAGAATAACAATTGCTCAATAACTCTGTTAATGTTTGCAGGGAGGACATGTTTAATCAAAAGAAATCAATGGTTCTTCAATAGATGGTTGATTATTGGAATTGTAAGTATCTTGAGTGAGTTGTTGCTGTTGCTGTTGTGGTTGTGGTTGCTGCGGCTGCGGCTGTGGCTGCATTTGCTGTGGTTGGGGAGGAAGTTGACTATGATCTGGTCCAAGTGGAGGTAGTGAAGTGACCATAGGCATTACGGATTGAACTCCAGGTCCAACCATAGGAGCATACGAGGTTCCATATGGCGGTTGTGGAATCTGGTACATCGGCGTTGGCATTTGACCCTGTGGGTTAATGTAAGTTGACCGAGAAGGAGACGCTGTAACAGGCTGTTGAGTTAACGGTGATGGACCCATAGATGGTGGTCCGTGATTTAATGGAGGTTGATAAATCACTGATCCTTGAGGTGGTTGCGGAGGCTGTGATCCAATAGTTGGTGCTGCATACGCAATTGGGCCTGTTTGCGTGGGATATTGTGGAGTACTAGGTACTCCTGGACCTTGAGGCCATTGGTACTTTTGTTGCTCCTGTCTTATGAGCATTTCCCTTTCCTGTTCTTGGATACGTTGCAAGGCCATTTGTCTTTGATATTGTAAATATTCATTTTTCTTTTTTCTCATAATCTCTAATTTTTGAGCCATTTGAGCTTGTCGTTGTCTCTCAGCCTCTTCAGCTTCTAATCGAAGTTTCTCTTGATGTTCTTCTCTCAAGGCATCCAGAGCTGCTCGAGCATCTCTTATTTGGCCTAACTTATCTTGTAAACCTTCATAATACAATCGACCATCGTCTTGGTCTTGGATGTAGCGTAAAAGTTGGGAATGCATATTAGTTATGTTTAGGAAGAGTGCTTGAACGGAGGTATCATTAGCAATTGGTCTGCCTCTAACGTGATTCGAGTTCATACGATTAACAAACATTTCGATGCCTGTCTTGAGTTGAGACAGAAAAGTATCGATATTGCTGTCGATTCCATTCTCTTGTTTATTTGCCATAGCATTTAGTTTAGATTCTTCTTCTATCTCAGAACCTGATTTGGTAGTAACAATGTTATAATGTGGAGATGGAGCACTGGGGGCCGGACTTGTACTACGCTTAGAGTTCAGTAATTTTGTTTCCCAGAAGCTTCTGTCGAGATATTTCTCTACATCTGCACCCATTTTGTTTGTTTTTTCTGTTTTGATTATTGGATTAGAAATTATTTGACTGTAAGAAGAGTAATCGGTTACAGGTAAACGAGTTTTCTCTTTTGATTCTGCTTCACTTTTAGATAAAGCAATAGCCATTTGCAAATCCTCCTCTTCTTGAAGCTCTTGTTCTGTCTTTGACATGGTTGGCTTTGCGTTGGCTGGTTCAGGTTCTTTTGATTCACTGTATCGGCTAAATGGTGTACTAATCTTAGTCTTTGGATCAGTTGGTTTGCTTAATTTCTCGAAACAGTCTTCACAAACACGCACTTCTTTCTCTAAACCATATTTAGGTATAATTGATTGTTTAGATGAGCACTTTGCACAAAAGATTTGACCACAATGGCGACAGTGATGTTTCCTTTGAACAAGATTGAATTGCACTCTACATCTATGGCAACAATCACCATCAGCCCATTGAGGGGCTGAATCAGCAGCAAACATGGCTTCGGTTTCTTTAAGAGGTGGAAACTGGTGTCCTTCAGCTTTCATAGTATTAAAAGTGTCTTGAATAATTCGGAAGCTTGGCTCCTTACGGAATGCGTGAGCCCAGGCTTGGATTAATTCTAATAATTTTTCACGGACCTTTTCATCAGAAGTTACTTTCACTAATTCTCTCAATTCTTCCATAAAACTCTTGGTACCAACTTCGAAATGAAATGATGATCCACAATTTTTCATACATGATTCCAATATCTATGGGATGAACACAAAAATATAGATGTCACAAAAAGTAGAATATCACAACACACATAAAGAGGCGATGAGAAAGAGTATAAATAAATACAACAAAACCAAGTGGTCCTTAGCAACAAACCTGGAGAGCATAAAGGTTTACATGAGGATTGGTTGCATACATCTTCTTTTTAATAGCGTTGAGGGCATATTTAGGCCTGCAAAGGAAAACATTTCATTTATAATTAGTGAATCATCCAAAACCAATAAATATTGAAGTCACTTACTGGACATCTCCTTGGCGTATATAATCACAAATGGTCAAAATAGAGTTCCAATCTGGTTCAAGTAGCAAATTACTGGTTGCTTTCTCTGTAAGCAAGAACAACAATAACCAAATTAGTTATCAAAATTAGAGTAATTAATGAAGGGAGTGGAAAGATAAGACATAATATGGCGCATAAACATCATAAAACAACCATGATTAAGCAAAAAAGAGACTATTTACCAATGAGTTTATCAAAGGTTGAATTAGACCGAAACATGTTTAAGCTTTGGGTTAGTGTTTAACCTTTCACTTGTTAGTAAAAAAAGAGCAACCACACAGAGATGCAGAAAAAGGAATTATGGAAACAATATTTAAAATTACAATGGAACAAGTTAGAAAAAAGCTCACACTTAATTAATAGTAAATAAACGTAATAGATATTGGCGATTAGTTGATGTTGTAGTCACTATTTGTCACTGTTGAAATCTTCAGTAATCAAAGAAACAAGTCTGTATGACTGATAATGGTGCTAAAAACAGCTTTGTTGTAGCAGAAAGCAAAACAAACCAGATGAAGTCAATGTTAATTTGGAAAGACGTTTGATTCATGCAGTAACGAGTTTAAGGAACTAGTTAATTTAGTCATGTATCATTTAAGAAATTTGAAAATTAAAAACAAGCAACTAGAGAAAAAACAAAATTCTTAAAAATCAATCAACACAGTGACAATACATTGTTGTTACTATAAACAACAATCATGAGGAACATTGATGCTATAGATTACCGATTCCGAGTATCCGGTTAGTGAGTTATCCGGATTTTTAATTTTAATCTTTAAACTCAATTGTTTATTCAGTATTTTTTAAAATATTATTACCATCAGCTTTAATCTTCTAAAAATTTATTACTTTAACCGATTAGATGAAATCTTAATCATATTCATGATAATCTATTTCAAGGGTTTGATCTTTAAATCAATATTGCTTCTGGTGAACCCAACAAGACCGTTGTTTGATTAAATTATTGTCGATGAACTGCAGTATCAAGTACAAACATCATCGGACTATTTTTAACCTTTGTGTAATCCTTTCTCTTGAATTGATATTATTTGAAAGAGTTGTAATCTCAAGTTAGCTAGAAACCACGTTCAATATTCAAATTAAACAGTAAACATTATCATCAATGAGCTACACGATAATCAATAATTGATAGACATTGAGAATTGAGTGTTTCAAAGAAATGATTAGACAACTTAAATCTAATAACTGAGTCATAAAGATCGAGACTGATAATTAGAGTTAGCTACTCTGAGTGAGGTGGAACTTTTTGCACGAGAAAAATCATGAAAAGATAGTGACAAGTCCAAGGCATTGAGATGAATAAAGCATTACAGATTGATGATCACAGTTGATGGAAAATTCAGAGAAAAGATTAGTTAATCCAGGATGAATAAACGATCTTTGGTAAAGAAGAACCAATCAATTGAAAATATTCTCATCGATTGTCAAAATTTCTAGATGAGCCTCAATTGATCCTAGATAACCAACAGGAAATGTAATACATTAACAAATGAAAATACAATCAATAGTTGGAAAAGACAATTTATTTTAGCTAATAAACAATTTAAATCTAAAAATAAATGTGTTTACTCAAAATTTTCAATTTCAATGACTTAAGATAGACTGATATCTGTCAGTATCTGATAGAAATAGTTTATAAACGATTCAATAGATGGAACCAGAAACAAATGCAACTTTCTACTTTTAATTGTTGCAAGATAATTGGAAAGGTCGGCAATTAATAATGAAAATAATAAGTAACCTTAACAATTGAACTGGTTTTGTTAACATGTGTTGGATAAATCTCCAAAATCAAAATTCGGACAAAACCTGTTTTTAAAAAATAAGCTTCAAGGATCAATAGTTTTGTTATTGAATAACAGTGATCAAGTCTAGTCTCTTCCTTTGTCATTAAACAGAAATGGCTTATCCTTCTTAACGTGATTACAACAATTAATATCGACTTTAACAAGAGACATTAATCTTATCGAAGTTTCATCCTTAAATTATCAACTCCATGTAATTTACACATAATTATTATGTGTTTGTGTTATCATTAAACTTGTATATTGCTGGGCTTGCGCCATTTTAAGGAAAACCCGCCTGAAAATGAAACAAACATTGTGAGTAAAAGTTGATGTTGGAAAGACGTTGGAAGCAAAATCAGAGGCAAACTCAGTTCTCATTCAGGTTTTTGTTTGGTCTGTTTGTTTCAATTGAACTCCAATCGAAACTTGGTGAATAGTTAAACTGGGTTATTGTTTTGCTGTTGTTTTTGGTCAATCAAATTGTTCTAATGAAATATTTTCATCTGTCATCTGACGAGTTGCCATTGAACTTGTCTTACCCATGATTCACATCAATTTTCAACTGTGACTCTTCAACCCTTATTTTGTCTACAACCTTAAACCTTTACAAAAATCAGGTAACATTTACTTTTGTGTTTTACTTTTTTTCACTCTTTTTTCTTCTTCTCCACTTTACCCTGCCATTTGTTTTCACCATCGGTTAACTTGATTTACATTGTTGCACCATTCAACCCATTTAATTTTAACGAAATTTCATTAAATCAGAAATTTCTCCTTCTCTTCTATTTTTTTCTCTTCTCTTTTCTCTCCTCTAAATGTTATGCATTGTTTTTTTTACTCTGTTTCCCGCTAATTGAATCAATCAAGTTTTCTGCTCATCAAAATGGTGATCACCTAAGTGTTCCAATAAATTTACTCCGCTAACAACTTGAATGTTAATAATCATATAAATATATTCATTTTACCATACTGGTCCAAAGTGTCAGTGAAATCAGTTTAATTAATTATCACCGAGTGACAGTAAAAAAGAAATCACTTAACATCAATAAAGTTGAAAAACATAAATCTAAACAATCCTACTCTCTTGTCAACAATAATTTTCATTTTGCAACGGAAAAAAAGCTGTTGTCTCATCATCATTGGCTAGTTTAAATAATATTAATTATAAAATTGTAACTCAACAGTCAAACAGTTCACTTTTGAAAAAAAACAAAGCTGTCGCCATTTTTATCATCCTTACCATCTTTATCATAATCATCTCACTTTTAACCAAATTGACATCATAACTTGTAACATCTTTTTAACCGGATTTTTCATCAGTTGTGCTTCACAAGTGATTAACAGTGTATATTTTTCACTTTCTCATTCTATACATAGCTACCAACAATACCAAATAAATCAACCTAATTTTAACCACAAACTGACTACTGTTTAAACATGGGTGCCGACGGAGGAATAAGTGTCAGTTTTAGTGTTTCTGTACCCCAATTGAAAGACCTTATGGAATGTAGGGGTAAAGAAGCTATAACTAAGCTTGATAGTGAATTTGGAGGAGCTCAAGGCTTGTGTGCTAAACTAAATACATCACCGACTAATGGTAAGTTGACTCAACAGTGATTAACCGTCTATCAACAGTTTTTTTCCCCCAGAACGAGAAAACTGTCTGATAAAAACCTTCAGATTACCAGTTGACCGATCTTTCTTACATACAATTTTAGTCTCAAATCATGTTTTTTTTCATTCAAATTTCATGTTATTTGTCATCTTTCATTAATTTTTATTTTTACTTTTGTTTCCTTGTTTAGGGTTAAGTGGAGCTCAAAGTGATTTAGAAGAACGACGAACGATATTTGGTGCAAATGAGATCCCTCCAAAGCCACCTAAAACATTTTTACAGCTTGTCTTAGAAGCTCTTCAAGATGTTACATTGATTATATTACAAGTAGCTGCCATCATATCCCTGTTACTATCACTTTATTCGGCTCCTGACCATGGAGAAGGAGGTGAGGAAAATTCAAAATCAACTATAAATTCAATGGTCCAAACTGATACGTGTTCAACTATGTGTTTAACTGTTGTGTGTTTGCTGCAAACGCCATTGAAAAAATTTCGTATTACCTCAATGATAAAATTTATTGTCAGGACTTATTAGAATCTCAATGTGACTTGTGTGTTCACAGATCAAGTTGACAGCTAGAATCAATGCCAGGGCGATAAGTTCTCATTTAATTACAATTAACTAAACACTTTGGAACATGCTATTGTAAACAATGATGATAATTGAAGAAGTTATTTTATTAATACAAAGATGATGGCAGCAACACATAATTGATAAGCACATGGAGAAAAGTAAATCTGTGAACATGGAAAAAGATAATCATGTTTTTGCCTTTTCACTTTGATACACGATAGATAAATTGATGTTAATTAAAATAGAGTTGATCAGTTGTTTACTTCACAATAATTGTAAGATGATGTTATCCATCTTCAATCCTATGGATTGTTGATCAAGCGAAACGTTGCTAATGTTTTAACTCTCACTGTTATCATTGACTTTTATGGTTCTCAGTTTGGAGCCATTTTCAGCTCTTCATTTATTGTTATCAATATTATTGCTAGTTACTCTCAATTACTATCAATTCAATCGATTTTTTAAACAAATTTCACATTCAATATTACTAATAATACCTTTTTTCCTCTCTCTCTCTCTCTATGTTCTTGTCATTTTTGGTTTCTTCTGGTTTGGTTATCTTTTACTCACTGGTTTATCGATTGACACTTAAAATATTATTTCTGTTGATACCTCTCATTATAATGGTGATGATGATTATACAACAATCACACAAAACATTCAACCCAATGAATGATCCTTAGGTGGAGGAGATGATAGTGAATCATCAGCAAGCTGGATTGAAGGAGTAGCCATTCTTGTTTCAGTCGCCATCGTTGTCTTAGTAACTGCCATTAATGATTATACCAAAGAAAAACAATTTAGAGGTAAACTTTTCACCCTCATTTACTTTTTTGTCCTTTTTCTTTTCTCTTATTCCTACACACTTTACTCCTTCTACCTCTTTCCCACCTTTTTTAATTCATTTCCATTCCTTTTAAAATGTGAGGAAATTCAATCTCACATAAAGCAAAAAAAACCGGGAACAAGAGTCTAAAAAGTACATGTTACAGTACAAAAACTGTGTGAGTTGTGTATTTCAAAAAATATGAAACTTTGATCATTATTACTTATATTTTTCTTTCTTTTTCTCTTGCTATTTGTATCTGAGTTATCAATTGAATATGCTGAAATATTTTGTGGTTCCATCCATTATCACTTGAGAAATTAAAGTTCCAAAGTGTCTAGAAGCGAGAAAAATGGTTAAAGGAGAAAGGGAAAGCCATTTACTTGAAGATGTTGAAGGAGAAACTGAATTAAGACATTGAAACTGAAGATGAGGTGAAGGATAAGGAAGATGAAAATTAATAAGTCATTCCTACCCCGAAAAAAGGAGGAAGACAACAACAACAACAACAAGATGAACAACAATAACAGCCAACAGTATATGAGCAACAGCAAGAGCAGAAACCATTTGAAGCAATCTTGAATTTACCCGAAAGCCTGTTAATAATAATTCGTATGGTTGGGCCTTGAAGTGAAAGATTTAGATTGATTTCAGAAACAAACAATTAAGATGACAAGTTGAACAACAAACATAAACATCATCATGTTCATAAATAACAAGCTATCATCTAAAATGAACTAGATTTATTACTGAAAGTGAAAAAAAGGAAGATATTTGCGAAAATGAAAGTATACTCTGTTATTATTATCAGACTTTGGTGTAAATGGTTAGACCAATTCCTTATATATCTTAAGGAATCTGTAATCGATTGGTTTTTTTTGTTAAAAGCTATCAGTAATACTGTGAAAGGCTAGTTGCTGGTAAAAGTAAAATGGTAAAAGGCAAGCAACAGACAGAAGAGAAGAGAAAGAGTCCAGAAGAAGGAGGTAAAATGGCAGAAGATGAAGACACAGAGGAAGACGGCAGATAAAGAAAGTGAAAAAGTGGAGCAAGATCATGAAATATAAAAAAAACCAGCTTGTTAACAATTTCACCGAATCTACCTCAAAATTATTCTTATATATTTTTACACTTCTTTTATGTCTTCCTCTTCTCATCATCGTCTTCCTCCACTACAGCCATTGTAACAGACTTTCATTGATGCTTGTTGTTGTTGACTTTTTGTTGTTCATTTTTTGTCTTCTTTTTTCTGTTGATTGTATCTCATACAATCAACACCAAAGTCAATTTTTAGTTTGTCGATTCACTTCACCTCAATAGTTAACATCTTACCTGAAAGCAAAATAATCTAATCATTTCTAACCCATGTTATTGACAGTAATAATATAACATCATAACAATATCAGAATATTGACTTTACCTTTTTCCTTTACAAGTTAAGTTGTATTCAACTTGTTACTATTAGTCTTTTTTTTTCTCACTCTGTTAATCATCATTTCCATAGTTTACTCAGAATCGTTTCTTACCATGTTATCAGAATTTACTTTACCAGTTTTCCTTTTCTTCATCATTCTTTTAACCAGAAAATGTGTAAAATAGCAAATGTTGAATATAAATTATCTGTGAGTTCATCTCCCAAAAATTGATAATACCTTTTTCAACTTGCCTCTCGATACAATAGCAAAGTCTGGCAGATTATAAAGAAACTATTATTATAAGATAATTTGTTCAGATTTTCTTCATCTTTCCTTTCATACTGTTCAATCTTGCTTAATTAATTGTGTCTCTCAGGTTACTGTAAAGGATTAATTGTAGGTCCTCATTTTTTTGATCGTTATTCATCGATTCATATTTAACTTCAACTGTTAACCATAAAGATGATGAATTGTAAAATAAAGACAAGTCTTCTTAATTCTTGCCTTTTTTTACTTTTTCCTACCCAAATGTAAAGATTATTATATTTGGGTTAATTTTTCTATTCTCTCTAACTCTGCTTTGTTTTATGGTTTCATGGTAGTTACTTGCATAACATTTATTTGATTATATCTGTATATTCCTATCATTCCTTCTGTATTTCAGGTTGTACGTTTTACCTTTTCCAGTTTTGGGTAACTCATAGTTTCACATATCAAATTTAACCAGTTAACCCGATCTTGTTTTCTGGTCTTTTCAATACACCTTCATTACACTCACACACAAAGTTAATCAAAATACCAACAACTCTATCAATTGTAACACAACATTGTACAGTCTATGCTAATATTGAAAAATTGAGCATTTTTCTGGTAACAACTTAAATTGTTCAGTTGAGTGAAACAATCCAAAAGTAAAAAGCAAATCAAAAGATTATTTTCATTGAGATTCATTGAAATTGACGTAAAAGATCATTGAAAGGCTACAAAAATTTCACCTTTCAACGAATAGGCGAGAAATTATTTACGTAAACTCTTGATTTTTGTTGATTACTTCATTTGGAATAACATTTTCTGCCTTTTATTGTCATTATCTTGATTGTTATTAAGTTTACACGTTTTATTGACGCTTAAATCGTTTGCTAAATGTAACTAATTAAGCTGCAATTAAATGAAGCTTTGTTACTCAACAAACATTTACCATTTGCTCAATCTGGTATTTAATGTTTTCTTGCTTATTGTTGCTTCCATCTTTATTTTAAAGTCTACAATGATTAATACAGTAATTAAGATCTTTTCATTTAATTGCTGATGTTAACAAAACACTCGATAACAAGTGATTTAATCAACTGTAAGCATCACTCAATGTGTTGACTACAACTTGGTTAATCGATGAATATTTTTGATGCAAAAATTTCTCTCTTCAATTGACATTCTATCGATTGATTTTTCATTTAATTATTGGCTATTTTTTTATCAATAGTTTCAATAACAAGCTTATTAGTAAACAAATTAATTGCTCTTTTAAATTGAAATTAACAGCAATAACAATGATTATGGTTATAAGATTAATTATGAAACAAAGTGAAATGAAAATAAGCCAATTGAAATGTAATCAAGAAAAATTTATTGCTACTTCATCCAACCTCCATTACAATCTCATAATGTTATCATCATCATTGTCTCATCTTCCTGATCTTCATTGACGTAAAGAGGAAGTTAGATCACCAAAGTCCTGAGTAAATCAGATAGACGAAATAAGATGAACCCTGAACAAAAAGGTTTCAAACCTGAAATCTGTTTTGTCTATTGAGACTGATACAGATAAGTCAATGTTTAAACATGAAAAAAATGATGAAAAGCTGATTTAAACAATCAATTTAATCAAAAGGCATATTTGAATAACATCAACAATAAGGAAATTAATGATAAAATTGCAGATTTAATGAGTCTAAATGGGTTTCCATTGAAATATGAATCGTTTTCAAAGGCATTTACCAGTTTCAATTGAATTTTTCATTTCTCTCTTTTAATTAGCTTAATTTTGGGTTCTCATTTAATGATGGTAAAACACAATCAATGGGAAAAGGAGAAGCGATTTAATCACATTTGTTGAATGATTGTTGAACTTTCTCTTGCTAGTTGATTGTCCTTCTTGATGAGGTTACTATTGATTAATGCTTGCTCATTGTTAATAACATAACAACAGTAAACTGACTGATAATGATGAGGCTTGAATCACGTTACCCTTAATTGTTTACGACAATTTACTCAATAAATACTCTTCCATTTATCAATCAATGACAATTTACTGATTGTCTTGACCTCAAGTTTTACAGCCAATTTTCACACTGTTTACAGCCATTGAAACAATTAACTGAAGATGAGAGTTGAAAGCAAAAAATAGATGAACGACCCTAACCTTGAATATTTTTGATTTGCTTCAAAAACATTGAAAGTTAATTGCTTCGAATCAAGCTTGTAATTAACTAAAGAGTAAAAAACTAGTTTAATGTCACAGAGACAATCTGCCTTTTTCAGTCTCTCATGTCCCATGAAAATCTATCCATGAGATGAACTCATGTGAATCAAATTGTACTTACTAATTGTGCTTGCTTAAGCATATCAACCTGATTTTTTTTCATATTCAACATCCGACAGAAAACGTGAAAACATTTCATCTTAGATGTCCAGTAAATTCAGAGTTTAGATTAGAGAATCGATCGAGAAATTCGTGAAAAAAATCCTGAAAGTTGAACAAAAGATTCAACACAAAAAATGAACCGAAAATTGAACCAGAAAATTGAACCAGAAAATGAACCAGAAAATGAACCAGAAAATTGAAAACATTTCAACTTTGCTCTTTGAAGGGCTTTGATCGTTACTCGCTATGAATTTATTATTAAACCTTTTGTCATAATTACCATTCCAATTACAGAATCACTTTCAATTTAGTTTATTATCAAATTTAGATTATTTTCTAGCAGCAACAATTTACGTTAATTGTTTGACGTCTATAGTTTATTAATTGATTAAATTATCTTCTCGGTCTTTTATTGATTTTTAATAATCACAAATTGCAAATCATTACTTTCACTGTGTTCACTTCACAGTTATTGCCATCCAATATCAATAAGTTTTCATTCAATTTTGTTTTCCTAGTTTGGTCTTTTTTATCATGAAAACAATTGATTTTGATCATTTCAAGTAAAAAGATCACTGAATTATCCAGATTTACGTAAATGCCCAACAAGGGCGGAATTGATAATCTCTGGTCTAATTATATATGTTCATTATTTTAGTGCCTAGTCTAGTTTATTAATAAACTGATAACTTTTAATCATAATTTCCTGATTGTGGATGAAAATTTTTACGATTATTGTGATTGAAATCTTTGATATCTTTCGACAATTTGATTACAATGAGCGTCAATGGTGACAACATTTTTTTCTGGTTACTTTTGGGTTCAGTTGACAAATTGAAAGTCTTCTATCATTTAATCAAATTGTAATTCAATTTTCTTCTAATTGAATGTTTAATCAAACGAGCAGAACTAATTGTTCAGCCA